CCTTGAAACCCAGTGACTTTGCCAGTGAAGCCAGCACCGAGGCCTCCCGTGCCGCCCCCAGAAGCCGCAGCGGCTCCGAAGCCCACCCCGTGTGCCGAGGCACCATTGGCCGTGGAGGCGGGGTCCTCTGCCCGAGCCTCCATCCCTACAGACCCCCTTGCCACGAGTCAGCGGTGCCCTGAGCCCCGGGCAGTGCCTCGAGGCCCCCACACACCTTCAGGACGGAAGGGAGGCCCTGCCCTCCCTCTGCAGACCCTGCCCTCGAGCTCCGCACCACGGAGCCAGTGGTCCAGCAGAGACGGCTCACTCGCACCGGACGGGGCTGTGGGTCCTTCCGAAGGGGCGCAGCCGAGGAGTGACCGCAAACGAGTGCTTTCTGCAATGGCTTCGGCCACAGCGGCAGCTCTCAGGACGGGGTCCTGGGGCTCCGGCAGCGGCGGCAGCGCCTGGGAACCCGTGGGAAATGCAGGTCCCCAGGCCCCGCCCCAGACCTGCCGCGTCACTCGCTGGCGCGGGGCAGCGGCCGGGGCTTCAGGGAGCCGCCTAGCAGTAGTGACCGCTGGGAAAATCGTAGCTTTCACGAGATGGCCCTTTGTCAGCGAAGTGATGTCTCTGCTTTTTAACACGCTGTCTAGGCTTGTCAGAGAAATACAACTGATTTTTGAATTTTAACATTTGATCCTGCAGACTTGCTAAACACTATTTAATAGAGTTGGCGGCTTTATGGAAGACGACTTAAGGTTTTCTACATACGATCATGTTGTCTGTGCATAGTTTTACTGTATCCCATTCTCCATGCATTTTTATGTCTTCATCTTGCGCTGCTGGAATGGCCGGGACTTCCAGCCTGACAGGGAGCAGGAGTGATGAGAGCGGATAGCCTCATCTTCCCAACCATAAAGGGGAAGCAGTCAGTCTCGCCACTGAGGATGACCTTCACTGGAAGTGGACGCACTTATAGATGCACTTATATTGCGGACGTCATTTTCTATCCTTGCTTAGATGAGAAACTTTACATGAATGGATGCTTAATTTTGTCTAATTCTTTTGTCATCTCGAGATGACCAGTGTTTCCTTGTTATTGTACTATGATGAGCTACATTGATTTTTTCCTTAGTTAAGCAAAGAACACCTTATTTCTCCTTATTTCTGCTATATGTAACAGCATAATGCCCTAAGAAATAACTATTTCAATTGATGTATAGTTGATTTACAATGACAATTTCCATATGGATTCTTTTTTTTCCCATATGGATTCTTATTACATCTGCAAACCTCAACCTCCCACTCCATCCCTTCCCTACTACTATTTTAGTTTTGGCATTGTAATATGTATTAAAAAATACAGGTGAAAAAAAATAAATAAAAAATACAGGTGAGCATGCATGCCTATTAAAGAGCATGCCAGTGATGCCTACTCCCTGGAGAAAACAATCTTGTAGACAGACTAGCAGTCAGCTGAGGGTCATGTTGTCTTTGTTCTTAAGAATCAGTAGGTTCTCTGCTGTTTGCCAGATTCTTCTCTTGGAGGATCTGCTAGTATAACCTTATGCCTAATCCTAGTCAGGGTTTCTTGGAACTTCCCAACCTAGGCATCGAATCAGGGTCTCCTGCATTGCAGGTGGATTCTTTACCAGCTGCGCTACCTGGGAATTCCTACATGTCCCACTGAGTTTTGAAATCTTAAACCTTTAAAAATTTTAAACATTGGTCATGATTATTCTTTTTACTTTTGATGGGATTTAATTTGATAAAATTTTGTTGAAGACTTTGGCATCTATATTCAAGAAGGAATACTGGTGTATGATTTTTAACATCATTCTACTTTCCATTCCTTGAGAGCAGCTGGTGCTGATCTCATAGAATGAATCGGGGAGTGTTTCCCCCTGTTCTACTAAGGAAGAATTTGTGTATAATTGGTTATTATTTCATCAAAATTTGGTGTGACTCACCAGGGAAGCCATCTGAGCCTGGAGTTTTGAGAGTTTTCAACTACAGGCTACACTTCTTTAACAGATGCAGCGCTGTTCAGTTTCCCATTTCTTCTGGAGTGAGCTTTAGTGGTCTGTGCAAGAATCTGTCTACTTCATATACCCTGTAGAATTTTCTGGTGTAAAGCTCTTTGTGATACCCCCCTGACCGATTGTTACTGGCCAGACTGGGCCTTCATGGCTGTGCGTGGGGCGTCTGTGGCTGTGGTAAGCGGGGGCCTTTGGTTGGGGCACGTGGGCTCTCCATTGTGGCGGCCTCTCGTTGCAGGCGGGGCTCCAGAGCTCAGGCTCAGTACTGGCGCCGCACGGCTCGGCCGCCCCGGGGTGCACGGGGTCTCCCTGGATTAGGGACGGGACCGGTCTCCTGCACTGGTAGGTGGACTGCTGTCCACTGGGCCACCAGGAAGTCCTCCTTATCCTCTCAATACCTTAAAATCTATAGTAATGGCAGCTCCCTCATTCTTGATACTATTTTTTTTCCACCAGTTCAGCTAAAGGGTTTGTCCATTTTATTTATCTTCTCAAAGTACAAGCTTTTGCTTTCACTGGCTGCCTAATGCTAACACCTGGTCCTACATGAGATACCAGGTGGAAAGAAGTGGCTTAGTGTCCTCCACATAATCTGGAATTTATCATCAATCACCTTACAGCTGCTTTACAGCTCGACTGGGGAGCCTGGACCCCTGGGATATACAATGACAAGTTAGAAACATGTGCCGCCTCCCAGAAGCTTCTTTGAGGCTGAAACACATTGTTCAAAGTTAGCCCTTCAGATGCTGGAGCTGTGTTGTTCCCCGCCCGCCTCAGGATGCGCCACGGTTAGGGTGAAGAGCAGAGGACTAGGCGAGGACCGGGGCAGGGAGACCTCAGGATAAAGGGCCCCGCTGGGGCACCATCTGGAAAGGAAACTGGCCGCTCTCGCTCGCAGCTGAGCTCGAGGCCCTCTCTGCTCCTGCAGACGCCTCTCGGGTCAGCACCTCCTCAGAGCTGCTCTGGACGCTCCCCTCCCCGCTCCCAGCACCGCTCCAGGCCGTCCCAGCTTGGTGCTCAGCACCCACAGGAAGCCTGGTCATGACAGGCTGGCAGCGAGCACCAGCTCCCCCTACAGGCTGCCTTGAGCGCAAACAGCAAGTGGGTTCTGAGCAGCAATACAGGTGCTTCTTTCTACAACCTAACTCGCTGCCTCCACTTAGGAGTCAGGGACAAGAAACCAGCTGGTGGGACTTCCCAGCTGGTCCGACGGTTAAGACTGCACCTTCTAATGCAGGGGGTGAGGGTTCAATTCCTGGTCAGGGAGCTAAGATCCCAGCTGCCACGTGACCAAAAAAAAAATCAAAACGTAACACAAACAATATTGTAAAAAACTCAAAAAAAAAAAAAAAAGAAACAAACCAGCTGGTTCATCTCCAGGGGTGGGTCTCTCCTCTGTGCATCACTCATGAGCCAGGGCCACAGTCCCAACAGCCCCTCACCCCATTTTCTGCACAGCTCCTAGAGGAGTGGTGAGCATCTTTTACAGATGACTGTTTCACCATGACTATAACTACGGGAACCTGCAGGCAGCAAACGGAGCCTCCTGCACACCAACGCCTCTGCTGACATCAGGGCCTGTTCCCGGGCCTCACCTTCTTCTCTGGACAGAGCTCAGGCTCTCAGAGTCCCAGTCTTGGTCCCCAGCCCTGGCTGGCCAACCCCTGGCCCATCACTGCCCCTCTCTCAGCCTCGGTGTCCTCCTCTGTAATACGGGACGACAGCCCCACCTCGCCAGGTTCTCAGGACTGCGTGTGCTGACGGGCAGCGCCGTGGGGAATATGGGTGAACGCTGGTGGAGTGGACCTTATGGGTTCTGGGCAGGGTGCGGTTTTTTTTGTATGGATCAGCAGTTCTCAAAGTGTGGTCCTGGGAACCTGTGAGAAACACAAGTTCTCAGGCTTCTTCTACACCAAGGAAGCTGCAAATGCTGGGCCTGCTCGCCCCTGCTGACAGCCCTCCAGGGGATGCCGTCTCAGACAGATGGCCCAGATGAGCAAATCTTAAAACAAGGTCCTTCTCAACTGCAGAGCTGACTCATCCTCTGGAGGCAGTTATCAGAGAAAATGCTATTCCTGCGAGAGAATGGAACCCTGCTCCCAGCTCCAACGCCAAGGCCCTCTGGGACTGTCTGACACTTTCACGCCAGTTCCCTGTTGCAGCCAGCAAGGTTGAAAAGTGGGTTTTATCCCTGTTTTACAACAGAAACCAAGGCTCAGAGACCCCCTTTGAGAGTGGCAGCCGTTTCTCAGGCAGCATCCATGGGCCTGACTTGACACTAGTGCTGGAGAACAAATGAAAAGCAGGGATGGTCACTGCTCTTAGAAGAAGAGAAGTTGGCCAGAGACCAGGCCCAAGACCCGGGCCACCATTTCTATTCGACAGGTAGACACCACCCCCTGCACTTCCACCCTACGCTTACTGCTTCAGGATCTACTTTTTGAATGCAGTTCGAGGGGTTTTGGTAATTGTCTTAGATAGAGAAAAACATTATGCAGTGTTCATTTGCTATCAGTCAAGCTAAAAGAAAATATTGGTTGATTTTTTTTTAATTATGTATCTTGCCTTATAAGTGACTTCTGGACAAAATCTTCTCCCGGAGTCTCTCATTCCACCTACTATGTGATTTAGCACTGATTTACCTCTAAAGGCTTTTACAGTTTGAATAACACATGCTTTTCCACACCTCCTCTTACTAAGCTCCACAGTAACCCTGTTAGAACTTCCCTGTTCATTTTCCACATAAGAAAAGGGAGGCTCAGGGAGGTCACAGTACTAAGCATCAGAATCATCTGTTCAACAAATATTTACTGACCTTGGGAGCTGAGTGCCTAGATGTGACCCCCGACTCACTGGGGTGCATACTCCTCAGCCCCTCAGGGCCCCCGAGGATGGCCGACCTGCCGTGCAGACCTGCTCAGGGCGGGGCGGGCAGAGGGCGGGCGAGGGGCGCAGGGAGGGACACGGGTGCAGACAGCGTGGATCTCACAGGTATGTTTATTCATGCCCGAGGGCAGCGGCACCGCAGCACGTCAACACGGGGTCCCACGTTCCCAGGGCACAGCCAGGCCGATGTCCCGTCCACGGAAAGCTGGTTAGTGATGACCATGAGCCGGCGCGGGGCTGGAAGCTTTCCAAAGAGAAGCACAAGGTAGAAACAGTTTAGGAGGGGAGGGAAGGGCAGACTGCGGTTCATCATGTAGGCCCGTGCTGACAAGCCCGAGGTGTGAAGGACGACTTCCAGTGCCAGGAGGGTAAGGAGGGCTATGTCTGCGGCAATGTCCACGGAAGGGCTGAGGAACCCACCTGGGCACAGAGAGCGGGGGCAGGGAAGCGCCTCCTCCCCAAGCTCATGGGCCAGCCCCGCGTCTGTCTAGGGCTCAGACGGCTAGTTTCACTGTCACGTGGAAGGGGAGTGAAGAGATATCTAGCACCAGAGTACAACTTTACATTTTCAGGGCAGCCCACTCACACAGGTAACTCCTGCATCCCCCTACTGCTGGCACCAGCTAGCTCTAATCAACTCACTTCACTCCTGGGAGCTACACTCAGCCCAAGGGCTGAGCAATGGTTTTTAAGCTCAGTCTACAGGAAGCAGAACATCAGGCTCTGCTTCAGCAGACGAGCACTCTACGTTCTGACATGTCCCCTCTGGGCCTGAACGCTCACTGAAATAGCTGTTGGCTTCAATTCACAATAACAAGGTACCTTGTCCTGAAAAGGTATGATGGTGTTTTTCACTCCCCACCCACTTTAAGCAGAAATCTTACCTTTCAAGGCTTTACTTCTTTTATCTAAAATAAATGGAAAGAAAAATTCGTCATATCAATTCTTTGCAAAAATGCCTTTAGCCAACTTATTGTTAAAATCATCATCTGGCTGAAAAGTTCATACCTTAGGTAAAGCTGTTAAGTGAAACTTTCAGAAAATAGTAGTCCTATAGTGCTTCAAAGCCACAAAGTGGTAAAAGTTCTACCACAGATGTTCTCTGAACAGTTAAACAGCCCTTCATGATCTGGACTCTTCACTCCCCACCACATCCCAAACTCCAGTCCTGCAGTTTAAAGTATTCTCCTTTCTTCACTCTTATTCATACACAACTGGGCCTCATCTCTGCTCTACTGAGAACCAAGTGGTTGCTCTGCCTCAAGTTTTATTATGAAAATATTCATTCAGATCAGTGGAAAAGGTACAATAGTGTATACCATGACACTTCACCCCTAAAAATTTGAACCCGCATCTCTTAAAACTAAGGATGTCTCCTATGCACTCTGAATATTGTCACACCTAAGAAAATTCACAATTCCCTGATATCAAAGCCTTGTTCAAATCTCTCTTATTGCTGACACAGCTCTCATACGCCCCATGTGTTGACAAAGGACCAGCAGGGTTTCTGTGCCCTGCTAGTTAAGGGCCATGGTTTCTTTACAATATGAACTGTGATTCCTTTTGAAAGGAATTTCCTTCCTGACCTCTAATGAATCAGACAAAGAAACTTACCAGCACTCCTGATTTTATAAACGATGTAGGCCATCAACCCCGTTCCTACCCAAATCTCCTGGTAAACTTGGGTATAGTAGGGTTTCATGGGGATCCAAACTTTCTTAATAAGACTCTGAAGCATCTGAAAAGGAGCACAGTGGTTAAGTATTACCATGACTGTTGTTTTAATAAACCTAACTGCTAAGACGTTTCCCTTTACTAAGTTTGACCCTATTTCTCAAACTATTCAGTGGGCAGCAGCCTCTATGCCAGACCTGCTCCCCAAAGCCATCCCAACATCTATGTGGGGGCTCTGATCTCAACAGCTTTCTGAGCTCCACACACCGGCAACACCCCCAACCCTGGCCACCCAGGCACTCGGCCACTTCACATTCCTCCAGGCCCAGCGCTCTCCCAGCCTACACTGTCCCTGACAGCCTGCCTCTGAAGGCTATCCTCCACCAGTGTCCCCAAATCATGCCCAAAACCACACACTTCTAAAACTTTAAAACTTCTAAAACTTTAAAACTAGTACATTTGCATCACTGTGTTAAGAGTCGTCTGCAGTCGATGCTGAAAAAGAACGTGGTGATTTCCCTGTGACATCAACACCCAGGTTTGGGCTCACGTTCATCCAGTGAATCTCAGTCCTTCTCTGTTTTAAGTTCAGCGGTACTGAGACATAACTGACACATAAGCCTGTGCGGTATTTATGGTGAACACCACAGTGGAGACCTGACACGTGCACCTTGTGGATGAACTTCCCCCGTCCCATTAAGTAACACGCCCATCATCTCACTGTTGTGATAGAACTTTCAGTTCTATTCTCTCAGCACACTTCAACTATGCAATTCAGTGTTAGGACCTACAGAGTATTACACGCATCCCAGTCTTGAAGTCTACTGTTAAATACAGAGAGTCTGAGAGGACGCTGTCACTTCGTAAGAGATGCAGTAATAATTTATTTAATCAGTAAAATAATTACTGGATTTGATTAGGAAAAGCCATCACATTCTGAACTGACATAGCTCAACTTTATGTGCAGTTCTCAAAGCAATGCTTTTGCTCATGTTTATAATTCACGAGACTCTAAAATCAGGTGCTCTCATTTTCATTTTAATAAGCTTTGCAACATCCAAGGTGATCTACTAAACTATTGCCACTCAAATCATCGTGAGGAACACTGACATCTAAGTAGTTCTCATCTTACTAGGCAACGCTGCTCTGGCTTCAGTCAGCAAGGCAGCCCCAGCCCCCAGCCCCCAGCCCCATCGCACCTCACCAACCATTCCTTTCACATCTCTACTTGGCTACCCAGAATTTCACTTCAGTTTCCTCTGGTTTTCCATGAGTGAAACCTGTATCGTGTGACCATTATTTACTCAGCAGATGTGAAGTGTGCATGTAAGAGGCGGCAGGCACGGTTTCCGGAGCTGAGACCCCGCGGTCAGGACGTGCCTGGAGTGGGAAGGCCCTCGGGAAGGCCGTGGCGGCTGCCGGGGCTCGCGTCTGGACTGTCCTTCTTGCCAGCTAACTTGAACTATCCTGACTTCTTCATCTCTAAAGCAGGGATAAAACCACCACCGCCCTCAGAGGGCTGTGGTGAAGACAGAGGTGCTGCTCTGCGTCACAGCACCTGCTGTGCCAGGGCAAGCGTTCACACACACGGCATCACAGCTGCATTGGGGTGGCAGGTGGCCAGAGCACGGAGGGCCTTGGGGGCCGCAGCAGAGAGCGTGGTTCTTACCCTAAGGCTGTCACACAAACCTAACACACTTGTGAAGCACTGACACGCTTATCGCCTGCACCCCAGGAGGAAGCTGCCTGAGCTTGCCCAGCTGGATCTGCGCCTCGTGACTGAGGATCTGCTCCGAGGCCTGGCTCCTAGCTCTTCCCAGGAGAGCACAGACACAGGCTGAGGCCCAGGCCTGGAGGCTTGCCCCCGAGTGGCCTGGGAGGACGTGGCGGCGCCCTCATCCGTCCTGTCCCCAGGCAGTACTGGAATGCTCCATCAGAGCGCAAGACTCCAAGAAGCCAACGGTCCCACCTCGAAAGGCACCAGAGAGGATGCCACAGGACGTGGAGGTGGCCTCTGGAAGCCCCAGATGGGAAGAGTTCAGAGGTGCTGAGCGTATTCCTCTCCTCACTGCGTCCAGCACTGACTGGGAAGGAAGACCAGTGGGCTTGGAAGCCTGTGAACCTTGGGTTCCTACATGAGTTCTGCCTACTTTGCCCTCCACCTTGGACAAGTCTCAAAGATGTCGTTTCAGAGGTTTCCCTTTCTGTGAACAGCAGACAGCTCTACTTGCCCTGCGGGGCTCTCAGCGGAATTTCAGGAGGAAACACAAAGGACCCTGGCCTGCCTGTGCACTGTCGCTCAGTTGTGTCCGACTCTTGCGACCCCATGGACTGTGGCACGCCAGGCTCCTCTGTCCCTGGGGATTCTCCAGGCAAGAATACTGGAGGGAGTTGCCATGCCCTCCTCCAGGGGATCTTCTCCACCTAAGGATTGAACCCAGGTCTCCAGCATTGCAGGCTCATTCTTTGCACTTTGAGCCACCAGGGAAGCCCGGCCTACTGCCTGGTGAGGAGTAAAAACTCAGTAAACGATCACAACAAGCACAGAAGGAACCTCTGCAAAAGGCCAGCTGGCTGCAACAGTACTAAGCTCCTGGGGTTCTACAGAGGACTTAAGCTTAAGAAGATGAGGGCAAGGCCCAGGCCCATTAGAGGCCTTGGAGCAAGGCCAGAGTAAGGCCTAGAAGGAAAGTGCAAAGCAAACCAGGAAGGTCAGAGGCCTGAGGAACAGACCAAACTAACCTCCTGTTATCTGGATCTGCTGCTCAAGGCCCAAGACCCTGGCCTTCTCTCACTTAAAACGATCTGAGACTGCTACAGGGCAGGTATACTGCAAATGCTCACGTCCCACCTGCCTCTGACTCAAGATTTCCACGTTAGGTCAGACAAGTGAGTGTCCCAGAGGTTCCCTACTTCTCCTGAGTCCACTCTGTCCAGCCACGTTTCCCAGCTCTGCGTGGGTTTTATTAGCGCCCATTCCTTCAAAGGCCCATCCTAGTCAAAAGCCAGATGGGAGTGCACTGTGCCCGTTTAAGTCTGCAGTTTCTGGCGCGCTACGTTAACAGTAAGGCATCACCTGAACCCACACATAAGACCGGAAACGTCTGACCCGTTGAACCCGGACCAGGCTTCACAGGCTGAATGACCGTGCAACTGCAGTCATCACCTCGGATCCCCTCTGGTCCCCGTCTCGCCCCTCCCATGGCCTTGTCATACGTATAGGGTAGCTCTGAGAACAGTGAGCAGCGAGGAAACCTGAGGGATAAAGGCGAGGCCACTAGACGTGGCGCCGAAGTGCTCCGCTTGAATCCTGACTCTATCCCTTACTAGCCCCGTAACCTCGGGAGAGGAGGCTGACTTTCATGGCCTCCCTTTACAGTGGGGGGCCGCAGGGGAAAACGCGCGCGGGCAGCGGGAGCGGTTGGGCCCCAAGGTCAGCGGGGGTCGAGTTGCGGCTGTGGGAGGGCCGTGGAAGTTCCTGCCCGCGGCCGTGGAGGCCATACAGGGCTCCGGGGCTCCGCCGCCCGCGGTCCAGCCCTCACCATCCCGGCGGCCCCGCGCCGAGCGCCGATCCCGGCCACACACTCACCTCGGCCAAGGACCAGGCGCTCAGGAAGCCCCTACCGAGAACCGCAGACTCGGAAAGGTCAGTCAGCGCGCAGACGCCGCGCGGAGCCTGCCGGGAAGGCGGAAGGAGCGACGGTGCCCCTGGCCAGAGCGCCTACCTGACCGCGCCTGCGCACCGCAGCGCCCCCAGCGGTTCGGTCGGGTGGAGGCCAGCAGCGCGAGCGTTGGGAGAGGGAACGTGGCGGGGGTTGGGTGTTAATAAGGTGACCAACCGTCCGGATTTGCCCGGGAGTGGGACTTCCTGGGCTGCAACAGGGAAGGTCTTGGACAAACAGACGAGTTGGTCTACCTGATAACGGGAGTCTCTGCTTGCGGTGTTAATGGCCGAGAAGCCGAGTCTCCCACCTCTGGGTTTCTTGCCATTTCTCTTCGTGTTATCAACATTCTTGCTCTGCATGTTTTTATGCATCAATTTCATGCATAGTAATTCTACTCAATAGACAATATAAATAAAGACTTATACAGGGACCCCAGACACTGGACCTAATAAACGTAGGTTTTAAAAAGACCCACGCTTAATATGCACAAGGAAACACAAAATAAGGCTGAAAAATTAAGCAGAAAACTGGAAATCGTGAAAAAAATGAAACAAAAGAAAGGCACTTAATTGACTTGAAAAAGAGCCAAATAGAAATTTGGTTGATTTATAGCACCAGATTAGACAGTTGAAGAATCACTGAATTGGAGGCTGGGTTAGAAAAAACCGTTAAGGAACACAGACAAAAGAGAGGAGCAGCAAGGAAGTCTACCGTAATGTAACCGCCAGTCTAGGATTCTATGCGCGAGGAAGTTAGCGTTCAGTGAAGAAAGCAAAATGACATTTTGGACCAACTAAGACTGAGGGAATAATCAGTAATAGATCTGCAGATTTAAAAAAAAAAAATCGGTGTTCATTATTCAGGCAAAAGAAATGTGAGTTCAGATGGAAGGGTGCAGAGGAGAAACAGCAATTAACTGGCCCCGCTTCAAAGGGAAGAAAGTTTAGGATTAAATGAAGCTGTGCATCAAACTCGGAAAGCTTGTCATCTTACAGTATTGATGCTCAAAATGTGGTCTGGGGGTTTTCAAGACTCCTTAGGGGTCGAAACTGTTAGTCATAATAATAGTAAGATGTTATTTGTTTTTTTCATTAGAATTTTCTCACAGTGTATGGTGGAGTTCTCCAGAGGCTGTATCACTTGTGATGTCACAACAGAATGAGAATCCAGTTGTTGGCCATTAAGGCAGGCATTAAGAGGTCTGTGAAAATGTAGAAGTGTCACTCTTCTCAAACACAAAAATTGGGTGGCAAATATAGTCACTTAATTACTCATTTTAACACAAAATGGTTTTATTAATATTATAAAATTTAAAAAGTAAATAAAACCTTTCTCAGTTGTAACCCCTAAAAAAGTAGATAGAACCCACATAAACAAAAGCTCTCTAGGGTCTTCAACAATTTTTAAGTGTGTAAAGGAATCTTGAGACAAAGACAAAGTCTGAAAAACACTCTTAGAAAAAGAATGTTTTAGACTTATAATGAGTTAGAAATTTGCAGGGGACAAAAAGCACTTAGGAAAAACCTCAAGGAGTTATTTTAAGACAAATCATTTCAACTTAAAACTCCTCTTGAGATCAACAGAATTTTAATGTCCTTATGCTAATCCAACATGGCCCACAAGAAACATGGCCCATGGTTAAAGAAAACAATGTTTAGAGAGTGAGCCATCCAAGCAGATTTATTCAAAGTACAAAATGCTGTATTTTGTGGGTGAGGAGGGTCAGTGAAGATATGAAAGTTAATTTCGGGCAAAGCTTCTCCTGCTACGGCATCAACATAATTTGTAATAGTCCTCTGCTGTTTGCCCTTTAGGCCTGCAGCCCCACAAGCTCTGGGAATGCAAATATGGGAAACCTCCACCAAGGCCCACTCTGGGGCCTTCCCATGTGCCGTGACCTAGGTGTCCATGTACCTATGCAGAACTATCAAGCTGCCTCTTGTGAACTCTGGACTTTGGGCAGGAATGCTGGATGAGCTGGGCCAAGTGACTAAAGAGGGCCAAGAACTACTTGTGAAAGGAAGGGGCTCAAAGCAGGCCCTGGGGCAAGCCTGTGGCATCTCCAGACCTGTCATCACTTGTTCTGTCACCCTCAAAGAAGACTCACAACTGAAGCGGCAGATCCAATCTATGCAGCAGTCCATTGAAAGGCTCTTAGTCTAAACAGGTGACCTCAGCCACATGCCCTGCTGACCCTTCCCCCAGGGGTTATGTATCATATTGTTTGTTAGCATGCCGTATCTTCAGCTACCTTCTGTTGTTATAAAATACTGTAGTGCTTAATCCGGTTTTTGGACTTCCCTGATGGCTCAATGTTAAAGAACCTACCTGCCAATGCAGGAGACACAGTTTCGATCCCTGGGTTGGGAAGATCCCCTGGAGAAGGAAATGGCAACATGCTCCAGTTTTCTTGCCTCAGAAATCCCATGGACAGATAAGCCTGGAGACTTCTGGTCTCCAGTAAACTTCTGGAGTTTACTCAAACTCATGTCCATTGAGTCAGTGATTCCATCCAGTCATCTCATCCTCTGTCATCCCCTTCTCCTCTCGCCTTGAATCTTTCCCAGCATCAGGGTTTTTTTCAGATGAGTCAGTTCTTCGCATCAGGTGGCCAAAGTATTGGAGTTTCAGCTTCAACATCAGTCCTTCCAATGAATATGCAGGACTGATTTCCTTGAGGATGGACTGGTTGGATCTCCTTGTACTAGTAATGTACTAATAATGTACTAGGGAACATAAATGGGATTTGCAGTTATTGAAGTGGACAACAGAGGATGACATGGTTGGATGGCATCACCTACTCAATGGACAGGAGTTCGAGCAAACTCTGGGAGACAGTGAAGGACAGGGAAGCCTGGTGTGCTGCAGTCCATGGGGTCACAAAGAGTTGCACACGACTGAGCAACTGAATAACAGCCTATCTTGCAAAATTCGAACGTGGTAGCCTTTACCAAATGGATGAAGTTGTAGTGTTTTTCAATCAAGGCTGAACGACATACAAAGAGTCTCAATGACTTTATGATCACATTTTCTTGTCTTTCCCTTGCCCACAAATGTATGTGTGAGGCATACTTCTGATGGTTCAGTATTTGGATCAGTCAAAAATCCAAGGCCCAGATCTCATAATATGTCGGTGGTGTGGCCAAGTTAGGACCTCGAACTGCTAGCTCAGTACCATGCTGGGTTCATTTTTTGTTAAGAAACCAGTAGTTCAACCCGGTCTAGTCTGACTTCTGCCTGCACTGCTCTCATGCTGACCTCCTAACTGCCACTCGGCTATATCCCAGTCCTAAACTGATTGGCTCTCACACTGTTGATCAGTACCATGCTCTTCATGCTGCCCATGCATTCTTTCACACCACTCTTTCTTGGGAGCCCACATGGTGCCCCACACTGCACTGGGCACTGATGATATTAAGGTGGACAGGCAGTAATGTTAATATCTTTGCTGGATTTGTCCTCTCTGCGTCTTCTTTCAGGCTGTTTCCTAGCTTCTGTCCACCTTCACTCGCTCTGGCCTGGACCTTTTCAGCTGCTCTGAGGGTTTTAACCACCATCTATTTGCTTATCTTCAAATGCTAACCTCTTACCACGTCTCTGTGCAGCTGTTGAAGGACACTGCCCTCGAGAAACGGATTTAGGAAGGAAGATGAACTCAGTCTAGTCAAGTTCTGGCCCCACTAAATTCCGTCCAGATCCTCATCTCAGCTACCAGCGCCCCCTGTCTTCATCAGCGGATTACTTCCCCTCCAAGTCCTGCTTCGCCCGGTTCTCCCGCAGGTGTCCACTTAGGTGTCATTTTCTCCAAGAAGCCTTCCCTAACTTTCTTGCTCCTTTCCTCAAATTAGGTGCAAGCTGTCTGACGTTAGTAGGCTCTGGTTTGCCTTTCATCTTCCTCACCCCGAGGTCTATCACCGCGACCCTGCCCTGGGCTCGGCGCACAGGAGACACGCAATAAACGTCTGTTCCTTCCCGGCCCAGATCGCCAGGCCTCAGACGGAGTAGCCCCGAGGGGGGGCTGGAGAGACACTGGGGATCTTGGCCTTGCACGTCTACAGTCCCCTGACGCTAGGCCCGCCTCCACATGGCCGAACGACCCTGAAGGCCTCATTTCCCCAATTTTGGGAATGGATAGCCGAGCCCCGAGTCACCCGGCCTCTGTGGAGGCGGAAGAGCACCGCTCCCAACAGGCCTAGAGCAGCGCGTCGGCACCATGGGCTCCCTTTGCGCCACAAGCTCCCAGCAGCCCCTGCGCGTGGAGGGCTCTGATTGGAGGCCTTGTGGTAGGGCGGGGCCAGAGGCAGGAGATTGAGGCGATATGCTTCGTGGAGGGCTCTGATTGGAGGGCTTGCGGCAGGGCGGGGCAGGGTGGGGCGGGGCCGCGGGCTCACCGTCTCTTCGTCGTGCAGCCAGGTGTTCCCGCGTCGCCTGTTTCCGCTTGTCTGACCGGCGGTTGGCCCGGCGCGGAGGCCCAGCTGCGAACATGCTGCGCAAGCTCACCCTTGACCAAATCAATGATTGGTTTACTATCGGCAAGATGGTGACCAACGTGGAGCTCCTCGGCTCGCCACCTGCCTTCCCTGCAGAGGCTGCCCGGGACGAGGCACAGCGCAGGGATGTGGCCCCCAGCTCTGACCCTGAGGCCGAGGGCCAGGCTGAGGCTCCAGCTGAGGCTTCTTGCCTGGCCCAGGCCCAGGCCCAGGACCAAAACCAGGAGCAGGCTCCAGCCCAGGCCCAGGCCCAGGCCCAGGCCAAGGCCATGCTGGCACTACCCTGGAGGTAGGAGGCTGGGGAGGACAGAGAGGGGTGGGCGCAGTTGTGGGCCTGGGCTCCGAGGACCTGGGCCGCCCCCACCCTGTAAGACCGCGTCCCTGGCCTTGGCCTCTCTGGTGAGGTAGCTGGGCATCAGACAAGCCCCAGTCCGTGGCCTGGAGCAGGTTAAACTTCTCCACCAGGAGTGGAACCTCTCCGGAGTTTGGGTCAGTGTAAAATCTTTTTATTGATAGGCTTTATTATTATTTTTTAGAGCAGTTTAATTTTACAGGGAAATTGTACAGAATGTAGAGTCCCAGGTATCTCCTGCTGCCCCAGCAGTTTCCCTAATTGTTAGTATCTTGCTTTAGTGTGGTATATTTGTATGTTTGTTACAACTGGCATTTGTTTTGGACCCCAAGAAAATGAAATCTCACACTGTTTCCATATTTTCCTTATCTATTTTCCGGCAAACCAGTAGATACATCATTGCTAGCTAACTCCATAGATAAGACAGAGGGTTCATTCTTGGTGGCGTACAGTCTGTGGGTTTGGACAAAGCATAATGATATGTATCCACCATTAGTATCAAAAAGAGTAGTTCCCCTGTCGAAAAAATCCTATGTTCTGCCTGTTCATCCCTCTTTGCCCTACTCCCCACCCCCAGTGGGTAGGCAACCACTAATCTTTTTGTTATCTCTAGTTTTGCATTTTTCACAGTGCCTTATAGTTGCTTCCCTGTGGTGGCTCAGTGGTAAAGAATCTGCCTACCAGTGCAGCAGACGCAGGTTTGATCCCTGGGTGGGCAAGATTCCCCTGGAGAAGGAATTGTAAACCCACTCCAGTATTCTTGCCTGGGAAATCCCGTGGACAGAGTCTGGCGGGCTACAGTCCATGGGGTTGCAAAAGAGTCAAATCCAACTGAGCAACTAAACAACAATAGTTGTTATTCTACTGTATGTGACCTCTTCAGATTGGCTTCTTTCACTTAGTATTATGCACTTAAAGTTCTACATGTTTTTCCAGGGCTTGATAACTCATTTCTTTTTAAGTGCTGAATAATATTCCATTGTCTGGATGCACCTTGGTCTATTTATTGGATCACCACTGAACAATATCTTGGTGGATCCCAAGTTTGGCAGTCATGAATAATGCTGCTGTAAACATTCTTGTGCAGGTTTTGTGGGCTCAGAAGTTTCAGCTTTAGTTTCAGTTTTAGCAGCAGCAGCAGCAGCAGATCTGGTCAGTAGAAACATCTGCTTACTCTTTAAAGGAGGTCAGAGTGGAAGTACCTCTTCCCACCTGGGGAATCTGTATCACTGCTTGGCCCCTTCCCCTCAAGTTCAACACCTTTTACGGTTGAGATGGTCGTTTTGTTTTTAAAACTTTTTGAAGTTACTCTTGTTCATTGCTTCTCACCCCTACCCTTTGATCTAGTGGATGCACTTGAGCCTGAGTCTAGGTCTCATGGGCTGTTTCCAGCCTTTGTAGACACACTTCAAGCCTTTGTAAAGCCAAGTGGGACTTGGGATCTTCGGTAAATTTGTTTCTTGGGGGCAGGGAGGGGATAAAGAAACTCTGATACAGCTTTCCAGTTGCTGTTTTGTTTCGTTCTCACACATTTTGTTTCCTTGAATTGCTCTGGCAAATGATCCCTTAGCACCTAACCCCTGCAGCCCTGCTCTGCCCTGTGCTCCCTGGGCTTAACGGACAGAGTGGTATTGCTTTCAAATAACTCGTTGTTGAAGTAAATTATTATTGACTTTGTCAGAAATGACAAGCACGGATTTAAATGTCCTTTTAACTACTAAGGACCAGTTTTATAATTTTTCAATTCTTCATGGGCTAAGACTGTTGTAAAGTCAATAAAAATGAGTTTTCAGAGTAATAAAATGAAAAAAGGTAAAATACAAGCCCCATTATTAAGATTATTGCAATCAGCATGTAAAATTTCTTTGTAAATGCAGTAAATGCTTGCCTACCACCAGTGAAAAGGCAAAAAATTATGACACTGAAAGATGAACCTCCCTCCCCAGGTCAGTAGGTGTTCAGTATGCTTAAGAGTGGAGAAGTAGCTCCAGAAAGAATGAAGAGGCTGAGCCAAAGTGGACACTGCCCAGTTGTGGATATGTCTGGTGGTGAAAGGAAAGTCCGATACTGTAAAGAACAGTATTGCATAGGAACCTGGAATGTTAGGTCTGTGAATCAAGGTAAATTGGAAGCCGTCAAACAGGAGATGGCATGAGTGAACATTGACATTTTAGGAATCAGTGAACTAAAATGGATGAGAATTGGTGAAGTTAATTCACATGACCATTATATCTACTACTGTGGGCAAGAATCCCTTAGAAGAAATGGAGTAGTCCTCATAGGCAACAAAAGAGTTTGAAATTCAGTACTTGGATGCAATCTCAAAAGTGACAGAATGATCTCAGTTTGTTTCTAAGGCAAACCATAGTACAGTGCAAGTCTCACATCTGCACATAACTACTGGGAAAACCATAGCTTTGACTAAACGGACTTTTGTTGGCAAAGTGATGTCTCTGCTTTTCAATATACTATCTAAGTTTGTCATAGTGTGAGCGCCAGAGAATTGATACTTTTGAATTGTGTTGGAGAACACTCTTGAGAGTCCTTTGGACAGCACGGCGATCAAACCAGTCAATCCTAAAGAGAATCAACCCTGAATGTTTATTGGAAGGACTGATGCTGAAGTGGAAGCTCCAGTACTTCAGCCATCTGATACAGAGAGCCGACTCATTGGAAAAGACCCTGATGCTGGAAAAGATTGAGGACAGGAGGAGAAGGGGGAGACAGAGGATGAGATGGTTGGATAGCATCACTGACTCAGGGGACATGAGTTTGAGCAAACTCCAGGAGATGGTGAAGGACAGGGAAGCCTGGTGTGCTGCAGTCCATGGAGGTTGCAAAGAGTCAGACATGACTTAGTGACCGTACAACAACAAAGTAGAGGGCCCCGTTGGGTCCACCTGGACTTGTGACCTACAGAAACTGTGAAATAACACATTGGTGGTGTTCTAACCTGCTGAACTGGTGCTGACTTGTGGCAGCGGCAGGAAACTGATAAGAGTGGTGGAGCTGGGATTCAGACATGAGAATCCGTCGCCTGGTACAGCGGCTGCTCAGAGGCTTGCTGACTGATGTCGTCTCTGCGCAGGAGAGCTTCGATGTCGGGAGAAGCTGCAGAGGAAGGCAGACTGTCAGTGTCGGGCATCACACAGCGAAACCGCATTGGAGAGGACCAGTCACTCAAGTGGGAAGAGGAGCGTGCGTGAGTCACTGGAGTCTAGTCTGTGGGCGCCGCTCAGTCAGCTCAATGAGCTGGAAGAGTCGTGACTATGGTTCTTCCAGTGGTCACGTATGGATGTGAAAGTTGGACTGTGAAGAAAGCTGAGCACGGAAGAATTGATGCTTTTGAACTCTGGTGTTGGAGAAGACTCTTGAGAGTCCCTTGGACTGCAAGGAGATCCAACCAGTCCATCCTAAAGGAGATCAGTCCTGGGTGTTCATTGGAAGGACTGATGTTGAAGCTGAAACTCCAATACTTTGGCCACCTCATGCGAAGAGTTGACTCATTGGAAAAGACCCTGATGCTGGGAGGGATTGGGGGCAGGAGGAGAAGGGGGCGACAGAGGATGAGGTGGTTGGATGGCATCACCGACTCGATGGGCGTGAGTCTGAGCAAACTCTGGGAGTTGGTAATGGACAGGGAGGCCTGGAGTGCTGCGATTCATGGGGTCGCAAAGAGTTGCACACGACTGAGTGACTGAACTGAACAGTTATGACCACTAGCATTTAAAAACAGAGCAACAGAAAATTCCAGAATGGATCATGATAGTTCAGATAAGAGTTTACTCTCTGAGATGGATGCATGTCTGGGTGGTGAGTATGGTCACGGTGTGAGTTTCCTTCTGGAAGGAGGCCACGCCTGAGGCCCTGTGGTGAGCGGTCAGAGATGGCCACGAGTTGGGAGGGGTGGCAAAGCGGGGTGGGAGGGTGAATGGTTTGCAGATGATACGTTCAGTGATACGGACCTCCTCCTGTCTTGTTTTGCACGTGGTGGTGTGTTTTTTCTCCTTTGTGCTGATTGTGGGGTATGCTTTCTTCCATTTTTACATCCCCTTTCTTCACCTTGGCATGTGAAAAAGGAAATATTTTGTGACTGTGTTAGGCATTTTGAGCGTTTTCTGCCACAGTTGTCTGTGCGGGCTTTCTTTTGGAACTCGGGGCCTGGCCCTCAACTTGAGGCTGGGAGCTGGCCACCCCACCCTCTGCCCTGGGCTGGTCTGTGTGTGGACTGGCCTCTGTCTGCAAAGCTCACAGACTCCTGGCTCATGACGGTCTTGCTTAGCTCTCACTTTTATATCTTTTGACTCTCCAGCACCTTAAGATGTACTTGATCCCAGAGAAACTGCTACCGAAAGCTTTCAAATTGCCGTCATCTGGCGCTGTTACCCAGTTTCCTTTTTTCTTAGTTTCCCATTTCCTTCCTGGTCTGCTCTGCTGTGGGTTGAGTGCCTGCTGTGTTGGGCATTCTGCATGTGACACAGGCCCCCAGGCAGTCCGTGCTCTGGCAGACGAGGCTGGTCCTGTCTGACAGCTGCCCCCCGGTGTCCTCAGCCGCGCTGAGAGGCTGCTCCCAGCGCGGTGTCTCATAGGTTGGACAGTGGGTGTGTTTGCCTCCATGGCATAGGACCTTTTCCTTTTGGCCCTGCCTTTCCGTGTCTAGGCCTTGCACAGATGTTAGTGTTTGCTTGTGTTACCGTCCAAGGAGTTCTGTTTTCTATTCACTCACAAAGTCCCTGTTTTTTTAAAAACCTTCTATTTAATGGATGTAAGTTACTGGTAATTTCCCCATTCATTGGGAAAGTACTTGAGTGTCTGTGTCTTCCACGTACAGCTGGAGTAGGCTGATGGAGAGGAGGTGAGGAGGGGAGGTCTGGCGGGAGCAGGCGCCAGGTCACGAGTTCGTCTGCAGTCTCGGTGAGAAGCTGCCCCACCCGAGACGTCCGGGGTCACTGGAGGGCGCCTGGAGGCTTTGCGCGTGGCCGCCCCGTGTGGTTCCCATTCCAGCAGGATGGCTGCCAGTTGAATGAATTGAATGGGGCCCAGGGCAGAAACAGGGAGGTCAGGTGTCACCTTTATCAGCGCACGTCCTGTTGGCTCTGTTTCTCTGGAGAGTCCGCAGTAACACATCACCCAAGCAGGAGAGAGGAAGGCGGTGTAGACCAGGACAGGGGCGGTGGGGTGCTGAGCGGTGGTGGGATTCAGGGTGGGCTATTAAGAGACAGGAGCTCTGTAGCCGGATCAGATACAGGATAGGAGTGGGGGAGCAGGCTCGGGTGACCTCGGGTTTCTGGTCGATCCTTGGAAGTCGTTGCCCTCTGCTGAGGAAAGCCGGACCACAGGAAGAGCTGGCTCGGGGGAGTACCAGGAGCTTGAGCTCGAACATGCTAACTGTGAAATTCCTATCAGATAACGGTAAGTGCAGGTGGCCTGGGTTCGAGGAGAGAAGCCTCGCTGTGGGCTGGACCAGTGGGAGTTTAAGGCTCTGGGTGATGGAGCCCCAGGCCTGGAGCACGCGGTCATTTATGAAATGTGCGGGGGAGGCTGAGAAGGAACGCCGGCGGGGTCCGAGGAGAAGCGGGGAGAGCCTGTTTCACATGTGCACACTTAGTGCCCAAGGCGGTATCTGTTAGTGCTTTCAAGGAATTAGTTATGTTGTTTCCCCACATAACTCCTTGAGGGTGGGGATTTTCAATGAATCTCCACTTGAGCACAGTACCTGGCGTGTAGCAGGAACTCAGGTGTCTGAGCGAATGAATTGTCTTTGTGGGTCCCAGTTATTTTTATTCTAAAAACGATGAGAGTTGCTTCCTCATTTGCTCCCATCTTGAATAAACCCTGAACCTGTCTTTACTACTCTGACCAGAGCTGATTTCCCTCAGGTTGGGGCGGGGGGTGGGGGGGCGTGTGTGTGTGTATAATATACTGGCAACTGTACCATAAAGTATTTGTAGAATAAGTGTGTTTCACGGTGTGTACTGTCACACACAGTCTTGTTTGCGATGTGTTTTTTGGCTCCTCCACCATAGCAAGGGGATCAGAATGATTCTGAGAGTCTGGCTTGTAAAATTGGACGGATGGTTGGTGGTGTCATTTCCTGAGAAGTGACTGGAAAATGCTCGGTGAAGTGTCGAAGAGTTACGCTTTTAGTCCGTGTCAAGTGTGTGGTTTTGATTCCTCTGTTCCTTTCCTGAATTTTATTTATCCTGTTAGTAAGCGAACCTCTGTGATCTGGGTTTGGAGCATGTTGATTTTAAGTTGCCCGTGGGCTTCCAAGAGGAGGTGTCAGGTAGGCAACCAGCTGTGTGCATCTGGGGCTGGAGGGGCCTGCCAGGCAGATGTGAATCCGCTCTGCCAGTCAGCATCTCTGCTGTTGGGGTGAGCCGTCGGACAGGCGTGCGGCCGTCTGCTCATCTGCCCGATGGGAACAGCATCACATGCTTTCAGAGTCAGGACTGAATGAGCTAGACATGCGGTGCTTAGCGCAGTGCCTGGGTGGAGAGGAACAGCTTCATGTTATTAAGTGGATCGGCCTGGGGAACAGTGCCGCCTTCTGAGAGCTGGCGCTGTGTGAGGTTACTAGAGTCCTATCAGTGGAGTAGTGTGTTTATTTTTACTGTTCCCAAGCACAAACTTTTAGCTGCTGTGCCGATACTTCATCTTTGTAAACCATACCTGAAGCTTTCCTAGGAGCTCTCTCCCCAATTTGTACCCCCCTTATGTTTTTAATCCTCATTCTTTTGCCAGTTTAAAGTACTGTAAATACCCCAGTGTGTAAATGTGTGGATCTAGTAATATTTCAGGAAGTTATTGTGTTATAATTTCTACTTGATTTGTCAATTTTTAAGAAACAACTCTAGTTTTAAATTATATACACTGATACTGACACGGGAATCATGGTTATTAGGTTATTGCCAAAAATGAAAGCGGGAGGCAGGAACTGAGAATACCGAAGTCAGTGCGTCTTTCCACTCCCTTTCCAGGCCGGGTTGCAAGGCCGGCTCGTGCCTCGTGGGCGACTCAGTGGGGCGGGGTGTGTCCTCTTCCCGGGCTACTGGGGTGACCTGCCACCTACAGCCGCTTCAGTCACTGTAAGCTTTTTGACAGGAACTATATTTAAAAATTTATTTTCTTCCCTTCTGAACAGAGAGGATAGCCGTTTCTTGAAAGTGCTGTAGACTCGGTCATTTGTTTTGTTCAGTGGCTGTTTGAGGTGCCTTTGTGGGAGGAAAATCTTTTAAGCCTCTTCATGGTGTGTATTTTCTGATACACATGGTGAGGCTGCCAGTTCTTCTACTGAGTTTCACAGACAGACTCCAAATTCTGTTAAAACAAGAATTCTGTGAGGACCTACCGCATAGCACAGGGAACTCTGCTTAACACTCTGTAACGGTCTTTGTGGGACAATAATCTGAAAAGAGTGGGTGTGCGTATATGTGTGATTGTGCAGTAGAAACCAGCACAGCATCGCCGGTCAGCTAGGCTCCCGGAAAAGTCACGTAAAAATCCTGTTTCTGCCACTGCCGCGGTGCTAAACCTCTTGTTTTCTGCTTCCTACAGTCAATGCTCGCTGAGCAGCAGTGCCGTTTGGGGAGCGTTTCTCTTTCCCACAAACAGTTCTTACTTTGCAAACTCTCACAGTGATGGAAGAAGCCATAGTTATGTTCTGAAAACCGAACAGAAAGGGAACAGGAGTGGAAGGTGTCTTTATTTTAAATCTGCTTGGGGTGTGTTTCCATTTACCTTGTCTTATTAAACCCTGGTCATGTTGACACCAGGATGGCCTGGAGACGGGAATGGCTACCCACTCCAGTATTCTTGCCTGGAGAATTCCATGGACAGAGGAGCCTGGCGGGCTATAGCCTGTGGGGTTGCAAAGAGTCGGACATGACTGAGCGACTAATACAATATTGGTTTAAAGTATAGATCGAATTGATTGTTTTTCTTTGAGAGTAGCAGTTACCAGTGTTGTTAAACCAATTCATTTCCGTTTATTTATCATATAGATCTGTGTTTTTTCTACTTCTCTTAATGTTGGTTGAGATGAAAAATGAATCTGTCTATTGAGATGAAGCACTGCTTTGCTTGCAGACCACACATTGTTTTCTCCCTCCCTGATGCCTTCCCCCACAGAGAATGATTGATTCAGTCTTATAAAGATAAGATTCACATTAATCATTTATTTTATTCAATACATAGCTTCCTTTTAGAATAAAAGTCAAAGTTAACGTCAAAGTTAATTTGTCAAATTTCATACGTCATACTTTCATATAAATTTCATATTTCAAATTTCAAAATAAGACTTAGTTCCTGTGAGTTGTGTTTGAGGTATAAGAAAATACTTCAAACATTTTTTCAAAATATTTAGGAAACATTTTAGTTAAAAGCATACTATTCAGTGAAAACATTGCATTTTAAAAGTGGCTAAAAAAGGGATGCTATTTCAAATATTGGCTGCATCACATAAGTTTTAGCTTCTGATCTTGCAACAAACAGTGACATTAAGTCACATCACTTTCTCTTAATGTTAAGAGTTCTGATGCTAAGATGGTCACAAAAAAACTCTTCTCTCTGGTTATAGGTAACTTAACTTGATGGGTAGTAATACGGTAGGTTCCATATTTGATGTGAGAGTGTTGGGAACCTATTCTCTGTGTTTCTGTCTACGTAACTTGAGATGGTGGGGATTTCGTCTTTGCCTGGCCCCTCGGGGCTGCCCCCTGGGTTCCCTGAGTGCTTGGGGCGCGCTGCGCTCGGGGACCCCTCGGGGCCCCCCTGCAGGCTGGCCCTGTCCGCACCACTCAGGAAGTCTCTCAGAACTTGCTTGAAGATGTAGACAATTTCCCACGGCAGGACATCATTTTCTGCCAGGACTTCTCGAAATCTAGAGGCAAAGCACTTGTGAGTGTTCAATTCGGAAAATCTCTTTTGTCATAACCCTTTATCTCAAAAATCCAGCTTAAATAATGTGCTCATATAGTCGTTATCCATCTTTTGAGTAAACTTCTTTAAAATTATGCGTCTAGTGAAGAAATTTTGAAAGTGACTTTAAAACATTTACTAGCCAGTGAGATATCAACAGATTTTCTTTTTTCTTGTCCAGCCCATTCTTAGGAATTTTGGTTGCTGAGTATTTGATACACACGGCTAAAGGATTTATATGGTAAATAACAATTTCCACTCTAAATATAAGAGGAGCTTAAGAATTGGTGGCAGACATCACGAGAAGAGAATGTAGTATTTTACCTGCTGAGAACAGTTCCCGTTTGACAAGGTTGAACCTGTGAGCAGAGAACTTCGAGCTGTCTTTGCTCAGTAGCTGGAATGGCTGCCTGGGGAGTCTGGTAGCTTCTCAGCCAGTTGTAATCCACACCTGTTTTTTTCACTTTTTGCTCATTTTCGATCTCTTGTATCAGTCTCTCCCGTTCCTTCAGATGCCATTTTAATTCCCGAAGCAGAGTCTTTGTTACTACGTCTGAGTCAGGGTAGTGTGTGGATTTGTAGGAATCATATTTTGGCCATTTCATCCAGCCAAAAAATGGCATTTTAAGCCTGTGGAAAAGCTCTCACTTGTTTATTTGCATAAAATGTTACGGTTCTGATCAGCAAATATTTGTTTCTTTACAGTAAATTTGCCAGAAAAGTGCATGAATTTTTCACTGGTTAGATATACAGGTCAGAGTAAGATTAGAATGGATTATTTCTAACTAGGTCAGTGCCCAAAACCAGGCTTTCGAAATACTTTTATGTAGCTAAGCAGGAATGAAATACAGTCAGAGATAATCTACAGACTGAACACTTTCTGAAAAGAATACCAACACTTGCTATTAAAAGTTCTTAGGCATTTCTGTAATGTTAACATACAGGAAAATGCTGTCTGCAAGCATACTTCTGACTTAGGTTTTATACAGAAAAGGTTTAAAGGTTACCTGTGAAGTTGCCGGGTCCAACGTGGCCTGTTGCTGAAGAGTTCACTTGAATTGGTGACGGATTCACACAGGCACGTCTCCTCCTGGATGGGTCCCCTGCTGAGAGAACGAGCTGCCTCCTTTCCCCACTGAAACCACCTTTGAAATAAATAACTTTCTATGTTAGGAATGAGGCTGTGATGTCTTCATTTGGAGAGAATGCTCATTAATTCACCTTGTAAGTAAGCTGGAAGAAATGACAAAAATAACTTACTATTTAATCTTTACAAATTACATAACGGTTTGCCTTTTGACTGTAGCTCAGTCTCTTTGAAAAAGATGCTGGCAGCTACAGATTCTGGTCCTAAATGCATTTAGACATATCTTTGGTAAAGAGATGGAGAAAGGTCGTCTGAAGCACCACAGATGCGCTCCCAGCTAAAGTGAAGACGGTCGCGTGATGGGATGCTCTGCTGTGTGTAGCTGCAGGTCACAGTGCCTGCTGTATTTTTATGCCCGTAGAGCTCTAAAAATAACCATGTTGCTTTTATTCTTCAGCTGAACTTTCAGGCCATTTAGAAGCCAGGTCACTGTCCCTGCTAATGAAAGCATGGGAAAGGGGTCGGACTTGACTCTTTGCACACTATGCACACAGTATACATTCTGAGAAAACGCGTGACAGTTGTGCAAAATAGGCAAAGGATGCTAGCTGTTAGTCATGTGTGAAATGTTACATTCTGTACACATTTTGTATTTCTAAATATTATTTAAATTTGTATATTTAAACAAGTTGCAATGCATTACATATGATGTTACATACACTGAAGTAGATAATTTTAAAATATACTTTGTAACCTCTAGAAACATGGTGATAAGGCAATCTATTGATTAAGGTCAGAAAAAAAAATAGAGATAAGAACATATAAAGTTCAAAACAAAAGCTTACAATTCATTATAGAAAATAGTTTCTGTGTTTTCTTCTGAAGCTGAAAGTGAAACTCGCACTTACTGTTGGGGTGAGTGCGGGTGTGTGAGGTCCTTGTGAGGATCTTCTGTCCGAGAGCCCGTGTGCCTTTCCCTCGGGTGTGGACAGGTTCTTGACTCTCCGGGTCTGTGTTAAGTGACTGCACAGCCCTCCCCTTGTGTAATATTTGTTCTCGTGTTGCTCTTTGCTGCATCTGAGCTGTGACGAGTAGATGTTCGTCCACATCAACGTGCATGTCACACACGATGAAGAGGGATGCGTGTGGCCACCCTGCAGCTCCTGTTACTCACATGTTAGAAAACCCAGATGTCAGGATTCATTATCTGCAACGAGCAGGTTTTCACATTGCATCGTGCATAGCGCCGTGAGAAGGACGGGAGGAAAGTTTCTCATGACAGAACTGTCCTCTTGGATTTCCTCCCAACTGTACTGCAAATCATGCGGCTTCTCCCTCTGAATAACCTCCTTGTCATTGCTTTAGTTCTTAACATGCTTGCCTCTGAAGTGTCAGGACTGTATGGGATGTGGAAGATGACGCACGTTTCTGTCCCGGGCTTGCTTGCTTGCACACCAGTGTCTGTCCTGCGTGTGCCCGGCTCTGACCCTTCAGCTGCGCTCACAGTGTCTCTGCTGAGGGGCTTGGCTTTCTTTTCCGTGTCCCTGTAGTGTAACTCTCTTTTTCAGGGCCCCGTTTAAATACCAGCTCATTTTTTCTTCGGTCTGAGGGAAAAACATCATTTTCCCCTTGACACCTGTTTGTCTGAGCTCCGGTTGTATTTCTCTTCACTGCTAAGCTACTGTCCTTTGAGACCAGGTTCTGTTCTGCCCGCCCTGGGGTTGCGGCTCTCCTTCCCTCAGCAGGTATCGTTGACTCTGCCCGACTGTGCCAAGGCCCGGGTGCACGTCGGGGACTGGCGGGGGCGGCAGCGAGGGGCGGGGGGCAGCGGTGGACAGGCCGTTCCCTGCCCCGTGGGCCCCGTGGGCAGATGACCCCGAGCCCCCGAGGGGTCAGTGAGGTGGTCCTGGCACACTCGAGGCCTCCCTGGTTGCCTGCGGGGGTCGGGGAGGGCCTCCTTGGGAACGGGCTGTCCTTTGAGCAGAGACCTGAGGGTCCGTGAGCAGGCCACACAGAGAGCTTCTTGAGGGCGGTCTCCCACCTCCCCTTGGCCTGTTAGCACCCAGCTGGCTGTCGAGACTTGCCCACGCCTGACCTTCACAGAACGTTTCCTGCCACCCTGACACATGCAGTACATTTCCCTCTGGTCATCCTCAGATAAGCCAGCTTTTCTAATACCTAGGGCGTGCTGCCTGTGGTGTTACGAATTCTGTTTCTTTCGTCCTGGCTCCTGAGACTGTCAGACTGAAATGAGCCCAGGTGCCGTTCCCTGACTGCAGCAGGCTCCCTGCTGCAGTGTAGACGAGAGCAGAGAGATTTGTAGACCCAGGTAAGGAAGTAACTGCGTTAATCCTGCCTGTTCATCAGAGTACAATCAGAACAATGCTGGATTTTATTCATCAAACATTTTAGTAAGTTGAATAAGTGAATTCTTTCTAATTAATTATAATCTCGTGAGGCTGTTTTGTGTGGAAGGCATAAAACTTGACCTGTGGAGCAGTTAGTTTAAGTCCTTTTTGGTTACTGTCATGGTTTTCTAGGCTACATCTCGGCTGAATTGTAGAAAATTTTATAAGACGAAGTGAAATAGGATCATATCATCTCCAGTGTACCTGTGTGTGAAAGTCTAAGATGTATAAGGAAGTACTTAAATTTAAGTCTAAAAAGAAGGGCAGGCTAAGGAGTCAGATTGTATATATGCAGATTTTATATATTTATGGTCAGGGCCGCCTTATACAGTTCGCAGCAGCTTTCTATTGCAATTAAAGGAAGATTTCTCATTGTAAGGAGACTACTCTCTTTCTGTTTTTAATTCCTTTGCTGCCGACCTCAAAGTTCTAGATTATTGGTTCTTTTTTTTTTTTTTTGGTCTATTAAAGATGCAGTCAACATTTGAGAAACTGATGTTAAATTTCTTTTCCCAATGTTGTTCCCTCCATAAGATATCTCACATTAAAAGCCGCAGTTTTGTTGGGCCATGTCTGCGCCTTCCTGAAGGGAGGGCCCCGCAGCCCGTGCCTGGGCGACGTGGGCCGTGTCTGCGCCTTCCTGAAGGGAGGGCCCCGCAGCCCGTGCCTGGGCGACGTGGGCCGTGTCTGCGCCTTCCTGAAGGGAGGCCCCCGCAGCCCATGCCTGGGCGATGGGCCGCGTGCTTGCTCTCAGCTGACCTCTGTTCTTGCCCTTTACCTTTGCAGACGTGTTCACAGGCTTTATGACTTGCTCATTAATATTTTTCTTTCTTGTGTTCTTGTTTAAACACTTCTTTACTCCAAAGATATAACATAGAGGAAGATCAGCGTTTTAGGCTTAAAAAATAAGTACCCTCTGGGTGTAGAGTTGGTTTGGAGTTGATTTGCAGTTGGTGTGTGGGGGGGGTCCCCAGATTGGATAGCCATTATCCAAAGTCAGGGGTCGTCACTTGTCCCAGGAGCACTCCTGACGGCTCCTAGCGCAGTCCCTATGGGTACGCCCTGGGTGCTTGGAGTATCATCATATCATGGGCCCTGGGTCTTGTCACAGCCTGTGGGGCTGCAGGTTCCACCCGGCCTCCTATGGGCAGCGATCCGCGGTCTGTTGGGAACTCCGAGCCTCGGTAGGGCTGTCCAGATCTGTGCGCGGTTCTTCCAAGTCTGTGCCGGGCTGTCGGCTTGGTGCTGCGCCCAGCCCAGGTGAGCACGGCGGTTCCAGAGGTTCCGAGAGTCTGCAGCGTCCCGGGTGCTGTCCCGCCCAGGGCCTCCCTCTCCTGGTCCTCTGCCGGAAGTGGGGGCTTTCTTGTCCTGTTTTGCCAAGCACTTCCTGCAGCAGCGTCTGCCCTCTAGGCTGAGCAGTGGACAGACAAAGAAAAAGGGCCGTGAGAGTTTGCGCCGCCGCCGAAGGTCTGTGTCGTCAGAGTGGTTGTGTACGGATGTGAGAGCTGGGCCATAAGGAAAGCTGAGTGCCGAACAGCTGATGACTTCGAACTGTGGTCCTGGAGAAGACCTGAGAGTCCCTTGGACTGCACGGAGATCAAACCAGTCCGTCCTAGAGGAGATCAGTCCCCCCACACCTCTGCTGTGCCAGGGCCCACGTGCATGTTGTGGTGTGGGGAGTTGCGGCCGGGGGCTGCCAGGGGTGAACACGATGCTCTGTGCCCGGTGTGTGCTCTGAGTTCTCGTCTCTCCCCAGTCTGCCGGCGCTGCTTGCTGGTCAGCACCCCCGGCAGCTGCTGCGGCGTTCTGCCAGGGGCCACAGCGCTCTTCTGCGCGGGGTGCAGCGTGCTCACCCCTCTCACTGGAAACGGGAACCTTGAGCTCGTTCCTGGTTCCTCTGAGCTTCTACATGTGCCACGCTTGTGCCTCGTCACTCAGTCGTGTCTGACACTTTGCGACCCCGTGGACTGTAGCCTGTCACGCTCCTCTGTCCATGGGATTCTCCAGGCAAGAATACTGGAGCGGGTTGCCCTGCCCTCCTCCAGGGGGTCTTCCCAGCCCAGGCCTCCTGCATGGCAGGCGGCTTCTCTACCATCTGAGCCACCAGGGAAGCGGTGGTTTCACATAACGCAGGGCTAATAATGACAGCGTCTTCTGTGGGCTCCACTTTGACCGCTGCCCCTCTGGTCTGAGCAGTGTCCTCTCTGGCCTTGGTCATGTGGTGGCCTGTTAGGGGGTCTTGCTGCTTTTCTGCTGTGTCTGAGCCCCCATCATTCCACCCCCCGTTACCCGGTCAGAGCCATCCTGTTAAAATAGGAGTCAGGTATTGTTTCTCTCTCTATGGCCAAACTCACCTCACTCAGAGCAAAGGCCAAAATCTTTAGGATTTGCCCCTGCCAGTCGCCTGGTTCCCCTCCACCCAAATCCCTGGCTCTTCTGTACCTCTAGCTGCCCCCCCCCCCCATACCCCCCAGCCACCGAGCTTTCTCTGCTGGAGCCACATGGACCTCCTGCCCGCCTTCCTGGCGCTTTGGCTCAGGGCTCCTGCTTTCCTGACTGCCTCCCTCACAGAGCTGCCCAGTCTTCGTTTCTGTCTGGTCTTTGCCCGAGTGTCCCTCTGTATATTTTATACCCGCCCTCCACACCTCATCTTCTTTATCCATCCCTCTTCTGATGGTCATTTGGGTTGCTTCCATGCCTTCAGTTCAGTTCAGTTCAGATGCTCAGTCGTGTCCGACTCTTTGCAACCCCATGGGCTGCAGCACTCCAGGCTTCCCTGTCCATCACCAACTCCCAGAGTTTGCTCAGACTCACGTCTGTCGAGTCGGTGATGCTATCCCACTATCTCATCCTCTGTCATCCCCTTATCCTTTTGCCTTCAGTATTTCCCAGCATCAGGGTCTTTTCCAAAGGGTTGGCTCTTAGGATCAGATGGCCAAAGTATTGGAGCTTCAGCATCAGTCCTTCCAGTGAATATTCAGGACTGATTTCCTTTAGGATTGACTGGTTTGATCTCCTTGTAGTCCAAGGGACTCTCAGGAGTCTTCTCCAACACCACAGTTCAAAAGCATCAGTTCTTTGGTGCTCAGCTTTCTTTATAGTCCAACTCTCACATCCGTACATGACTACTGGGAAAACCATAGCTTTGACTAGACGGACTTTTGTCAGCAAAGTAGTGTCTTGGTTGTTGTAAATACTGCTGCTTTGAACACTGGGGTGCATGCATTTTTTCAAATTAGAGTTCTTTTCTGGGTGTATGCCCAGGAGTGGGATTGCAGGATCATACAGTAACTCCCGTTTTTAAAGGAACCTCAGACTGTTGTCCACAGTGGCTGCACCATTTTACATTCCCACCAGCAGGGTAGGAGGGTCCCCTTTTCCAACCCCCTCTCCAGCATTTATTGTTTGTAGACTTTAGAAGAAAATGGTCTTAGTTGTGGCACGCAGGCTCGGTAGTTGTGGCATCGAACCCATGTCCCCTGCACTGGAAGGCAGGTTCTTGACCACTGGACTGCAGAGCTGCCCCTGTTATCTGTGGACTTTTCGGCGATGCCGTTCCCCTGTTATCTGTCGATGTTTCGGCGATGCCGCTCCGACAGGGGTGAGGTGGCGCTCACTGTTGATTTGACTTGCATTTCTCTTGTAAGTACCAGTGTTGAGCATCTTTTCAGGCACCTGTTGGCCACCTGGATGTTGTCTTTGGAGAAATGTTTATTCAGGTCTTTTGCCCATTTTTTTAGCTTTTTTAAAAATTGATCTGTGTGAGCTGTTTGTGTAGTTTGGCAAATAAACCCTTGTTGGTTGAATTATTTGCAAATATTTTCTCCCATTCTGTAAATTGTCTTTTCTTGGTTTCATCTCCTTTGCAAAAGCTTGTAAGTTTTGATTAGGTCCCATTTGTTTACTTTTGCTGTTATTTCTGCTGCCTTGGGAGACTGACCTAAGAAAACATTTCTATGATTTATGTCAGATAATGTTTTGCCTTTGTTCTCCCTGAACCTGTAGCGTCTTGACTGCCTTTAGTTCAAAATAATCCTCATGCAAAAGTGACCCGTGTTGGGGAGGCTCGTTCTGAAACCCCGCGGCCTCCACGCGTGTCTCTGCACATGCTTCCTTGTCTGCAGGCGCAGTGCTGCCCTTGGGAAGACCCTGAGGGAGTTGTGACAGACGCCAGTAGATTGCCCCGCAGAGCACCCTCTCCTCCTGAGCTGAGACCATTTGTTCTTTTGGCCAGTTTGAAGGGCGGAAACACTTTCTCATTGCTTTAATTTGCATCTCTTTGGTGACTGACTGTGAATTTGATGGTATTTTCGTTTGTTTATTGATGATTTGCAGTTTTTCTTGTAGGGCTTAATGTAAAAGTTAACTATTCAAGAATTCTCCCAGCACATGGAAATTTCTTGGCTTTTTATAAACAGTATACTTTTTATAGGCCTTTTATAAACAGTATACTAACTTTTAATATTCTTTGCAGGCTCCTGGGCGAAAAGAGCGCAGAAACGGAATATGTTGACAAATACAGACAACTTGAAGCACAAGAATTTTATCTGTATTTCCTTGATCACTTAATCAGTGGGTCAGGTAAACAGGTATCTTTAAATATCATAAAGTATAAGTGAGTTGTTCACAGCATTAAGTTCTTAAAAGTCCTTAAAAATGTAGTAATATTTTGATCAATAAAGAATCCGTGTTGGTTGTTAATTCAGGATTTTTAGGGGAGTGAGTGTATGATAGATTATAAATCGTGAGTGTGTGATAGGTTGTAAGTTGCTCACTTTTTCTCTTTTAAGTATAGTGTATAAATAGTCTGCCTTTTGGAAGACTAGTAATGGTCCCTTACCTTACTATTAATTAGAAATACTTAAAATTGTTGTTAAAGTTATTATATGGAGAAGGAAATGGCAACCCACTCCAGTCTTCTTGTCTGGGAAATCCAGTGGACAGAGGAGCCTGGTGGACTCCAGTCCATGGGGTCACAAAAGAGTTAGACACAACTGAATGACTAAACAGCAATAACAAGAAGACCTGTGTGACTTTGTGAATATACTACAGCAAATTATTTACTTTAAGAGGGTGGGTTTTATACTATATGAAACATATCTTGATGGAAATTTAGTTGGAAGCAACAGTTATGCAAAGAAGGAAAATATATCCTTGGATGAGAGAAGAATCAATCAATCAAAATTCACCCAGAACTGACACTGGTGTTGGGATTAGCAGATAAAAACGTTTATTGATAGGTAGTTTTTATAACTACATTCCATATGTTCAAAAAGTTAAATAGACAAAGATTTTTTGAAAGACCCAAATTAAACTTCTAGAGATGGAAACTATTGCATATGAGATAAAAAGAATTCTGGAGATGTCTCTATTAGTCCAGTGGTTAAGACTCCTTGCTTCCACTGCAGGGGGCATGGGTTTGATCCCTGGTCAGGGAACTAAGATCCCACATGTCCTGCAGCCAAAAAAAAAAAAAAAGTGATAGATTAGATTTTGCAAAAGAATTAGTGAAGTAGAAGGCATAGCAGTAGAAACTATGTAAAATGAAATGCAGAGAGAAAATAATAAAAATGAAAAGTGAATAGTTAGGGTACCAATGAGTTGTGAAAAAGCTTTAAGTCTCAAAAATATGTGCACTTGCTATCCCAAAAGGGGAGGAAAGATTGGAAGAGGGGACAAAAAAGACTATTTGAAGAAATAGTGGCTGAATTTTTTTCAAATTTGGTGAAAACCACAAACATACTAATCAATGAATCTCAGTGAACCATAAGCACAAGAAACAGGAACGAGACTGAACCAACACAGAGCATAACCAGATACTCAGAAACGAAGATAAAGAGAAGATCCTTAGAAGAGAAGTAGCCAAAAACAAAAGTCATATTATGTGTAGAGGAACAAACATGATCATAGATTTCTCACTGGAAACAATGCACGCAAGAATGCAGTGGAGTAAAATCTGTAAAATAATGAAAGACCTCAAATATTGTACCCAGCAAAAAATTCTTCAAAAATGGAAGTAAAGGAAAAAAGATTTCAGATACATGAAAGATAAGTGGATTTATCTAAGTCACGTGTAGAAATTTAATGATGTTCATTAGCCTATAAATGTGAATTTTCTGTTTTATTTTTTAAAATCATCTATCATTAAATAGTTAATGAAAAAAGTTATTATAGTTTTAAAAATAACTGCATTAAAACACGATTTTAAATAATACATAAATGTGTAAAATAAAAGATAAAAGTCCCTTTTAGTCTCTCCTCCTCCCATGGGTGCAGCTGTTCAGAGTTTACATGAAGCTCGTCACTTCCTGTGAGTGCGTGCTCTTTTTCTTGTTAGCATTCGGCCTGATTCATATGGTAGAAGCAAGTTTCAGTGTGTTTGCTTTACGAACGTTTATCCTTCAGAAGCTCCTACCAAAATCAGCAGGAAGTCCTTCCCCTCTCCTTCTCCGCTGTGTGTTACGCTCTGGTGTAGAGGTAGAAGTTGGGATTCGAGTAAGATTTTCCTTTTCTTTTCAGCCTTTTTGAAAATTGCAAAATACAGCCCATATATAAAAGTATATTAATCCTTATTCTGGTCTTCACTTGGACTTCTTGATATAAAATACTGATATCTTTCATCAGTTCTGAAAAATTCTGAGCCGTTGTCTCAGAGATCCCCACACTCATTCAGTTTGTATTTTTCATTTTCTGGCCACTCTGCTGCTGGCCAGTTCCTCTCTCCTTGCCGGTCTCTCTCCTGAGGCAGAAGCTTTGAGTTCTTCGTTTTCCCCTCTGCATTCCTGCCTTGCTAGAGACTGTGCCCGGGTGTTTTCCTCTCTCACCAGACTTTTGGCTTTTTAAAGATGGTGTTTATGTATTCAGTCTGGCATCTTTAGTTGTCCTCAGGGGGAATGTTTGTCTGAACAACCCGGTACCTTATTACCAGAAGTGATAGTTCAAAGTGATAGTGTGTGTCCTTTGATCCAATGTTTACTTACGCTAAGAAAAGTACAACGCAGTACGTTTAAGAACATTCACTGCATGACTGCTTATGTGAGGGAAGCCTTTCGAGTCTCTTCAGTGTCAGTGAACAGAAGACTGGTGATTTTTTCAAGTATTTATTTATTTTTTTAATTGAAGGATAATTGCTTTACAGAATTTTGTTGTTTGCTGTCAGACTTCAACATGAATCAGCCATAGGTGAGGACTGGTGATTTGACCTGTAGACGTTGCTGGAAGCCCGCCACAGCTGTGTGTTCCTGTGGACAGACGGCTGTCGTTTGCCGTCTCCTGGGGGAGTGTCTTAGTTTTTAGACGGTGCTTGGTCCCGGGGCCCTTCCTGTTGCCCCTGCGTACTCCGCGCCCGGCACGCACCTGCTGGCTCCTGTGCGGAAGCCGCTAGGTTCTGGAGGGATGCCTGCACGTCCCAGGGCCTGCTCTTGGAACCTTTGATTTGGGCTCATGTTTGAAACTCTTTGTGTCCTCTCTCCGTGGCACCTTTAATGTGTTTGGAAATTTTCACTAGGGAGTCATACAGCTTTGGCTGCACTTGGAAGATTCACTCCAAGACCAGTGTTTATCAAGATGTGAGCCAGGGATCTTGGGGAGCAGTGAGCGGAAGTTGAAAGGGCCTGGTCTCTCCTCTTAGAGAGGTTATCATGTAATCACAGAGGTACACGAAGGGTGCTTTAGAGGTGAATGCGCTGGAACGTAGCTCTCTGGGGACCTGGGACAAGAGTTGTGACTTGAGCTGGGGTTCAGGAAAGTAGTAATCGGGACTGGAACTGAAGGATGAGTATAAGTTTTGGAAGTTACCTAGGCAGTGTGGGGATCAGGGAGAGGGGAGTATGTGCCGAGGGCCTATAATGGGAGAGAGTGAGGCTCTGGCCCTGGGAGAGTGAAAGGCGCTCAGTCGTGTCCGACTCTTTGCACCCCCATGGACTATACAGTCCATGGAGTTCTCCAGGCCAGAAGACTGGAGTGGGAAGCCTTTGCCTTCTCCAGGGGGTCTTCCCCACCCAGGGGTCGAACCCAGGTCTCCCACATCGCAGGCGGGTTCTATACCAGCTGAGCCACAGGGAGGCCCCCAGCCCTGGGAGAGGGCCGGCGCTGCTGGATGTGGGGGGCCTGGGCGGGGGCAGCGGGGGCCTGTGTCATAGCCCTCCCGAGAGGCCCACGCCTTCATCTTCAGAGCGGTGGTGCCTGTGCTGCGTCCGTGGCAGAAGGGGCTTCGCAGCTCCGATGACGTTAGGAGCCTGAGACGGGGCTGCTGCCGGGTGGGCCCGGTGTGAGCACAGGGCTCTTCCCAGGGCCAGTAGTGGATGTGATGGCAGGTGCCACGGGCTGCGTGATCGAGGAAGATGCAGGGAGCCAGGGGACGCAGGCCTTCTGGAAGCTGAAAAGGTGTGGGGAGGGTCCTCCCGGGAGCCTACAGAAGGAGCCAGCCAGACTGCAGTGGGCCTGGGATGCTCAGAGCTGTAGGAGAGGCAAGGAGTGTGGTGTGAGCTCAACGCTCAGGGTCCGTGTTGCAGGAGTAGGGAAGCTAAGCGCGCTCGAGGGGGAGATGCGGGCTCAGCTGCTGGCTGGGCCGGGCTGGGCCAGAGAGCTCTGGTCCTAGTGCTCAGAGCAGTGGGCTGAAGAAGGTTCTAGGTTTATCCTGGGTGGGTCTGAGGGGAGGAGTGTCCAGTGAGAAGTGACCGCTCTGCTCATACTGGAGAGACTGGATCGGAGGGGCTGGTGTGGACCCGAGAAGTCCAGGCAGCACTGGCTGGTGATGGTGGGGAGCGGGGAGCAGGTCTGGGGCCAACTGGGCAGGACTCGGGGCATGTGGACGGGGACGTGGGCGCAGAGGGGCTGTGGTGAGCGGCGGTGCTCACGCTCTGGCTTCTGAAGTGTGGCAGTGCCTGTGAGGCAGAGAGGCGGTTCTCTCGAGTCTGCGTGTGTGTGTGCGTGCGTGCGTGTGTGTGCGTGCACGTGTGTGTGTGTGTGTGTGTGTAATACACACGGCGTGCACAGCAGCTTCTATCCCTGTTCTGTCTGTCTGCGTTAAAACCATGAGATCGCGTCAGTACCCCTAATTCTGGTCCAGCACCAAGGTTTCAGAGTGAGCATTTTGTCATGTCCAGATACAGAGCACGTTTGCTTTTGGTGTGATGCAGGTGATATTTCATCTATGTAACTCTTTTTAAAAAATTATTTCTAAATATAAATCCAAGAACGCACATTCACTAAATTTCTATGAGTAACATTGGAATTATTTTGTATAACTAAAGGTAAATCACTTTTTCAAAGTTGAAATTTAGTAGCATTTCTGAGCAGTTTGGTTCCAGACTGGACCCCTGCCGGGTTTCTGCTGTTTTCACACAGCAGTTTTGAACTCGTCCTGGAGTGTCTCTGTAGTTGTGATGAAAGGCCATAGCACGGCCTCCCTTTTTGTTTGGTGATATTTCTGTTGGTGATTTTCATCCCTCTCAGAACTTTTCTTCTGGGTTTAAAAAATGGCCTTTATGGAGTTCTTAATAACTGAAGAAGGAAACAGTCAAATTAAGTTTAATTTTGTATTTGGAATACCAACCCTTGCTTGGAGAAAGTGATATGTAATTACTTATTTTGAAGGTTTAATTTTATGGTTAAATCAGTAATGTAGTAATTAAGCTTCTTTCCTATAGTGTACAGTGTCTAATAGATTTTTTGATAAGCAGTGTTGTTATGTTCTTCAGTTAAAATCCGTTATATCCATTGTATACTATTTGGAGCCCTGAACTGCTGAATTTTGGGGTTAGATTTTAGATTTGGTTGATACCGAAATAATGGGGTGACTTAGTAAAGAGAAACTAGCAATTTTCATGGTTTCCCATTTTTTCCAGGTCAAGTGAAATATTTTAATGGTAATAACCTAGAGTAAAGAGAAAATAGGAAAATAAAACCCGCGGACTTTGAGGGGGAGGTGTTTCTTACATCACTGCTGCGTTGAGACTCGGCCGTGTGCAGCGTGCTGCCTCGCCCTGAGTGGCCCCGTCCTCTCCGCGTGCTGCTCGCGGCGGTTGCCCGGGCCCCTCCTCTGATCGGGCTGCTGCTGCACGGATGCAGGAGGTGCACAGCCCGAGCCTCTCTTTGGTTCCCGGTCCTCCCTCTGGCGGTGGACGTGGAGGCTGGACTTGACTCGTGCTGGGTCGGCTCCAGCCACTGACCTAAAAACGTCAGCCCGTGTTTCGTGTTAGACAGAGGAAGGGCTATGGTTTAGACAATACAGTTAGGCCTTTTGGAATTTTTCTTGTAGCATTTCTGTGTTTAAGTAGCAGGCTTCAAAATGCATATCATCAAGGAGTGTGAGTCACGTTAGTGTGGTTAATGTGATGGCTCGTTCAGCGGCTCTGGGAGCCATGGCTGCCGGCCTCTGAGCGAGAAGCACCGCTGCCGGCCTCTGGTCTCTCTGGAGAGTCCGTGCCGCCTCACGGCCCCGGCAGCCCCGGCCACTTACGGTGTCCCTCCCTCTGTCACCGCCTCCCTACCCCGTCTCTCGGGGCTCCCTGGGCTGTGGAGCCTCAGCTCTTCTGTTTGTGCTGGAAAGGCTGATTACTGATGGATAAGCCTGCCGGCCCCAGGAGAGGGAAGGGCCAGATTTTTTCCCTATTTAGGCATGTATTAGCTCAGTTCTTGGATTTGTAGAGTCTGGGTACCCAGCCATCATTTAGAATTCCAAATAATTTAATAAAATGTTGGAACCATTTGTAAATTAGGAACTGTTCACACTCTGAATTTTGCTCAGTGTTTTGAAGATAGCGTGGTTAATTTAAGGGCTTTTGAGCCGAGTGCTTCTAGAAGGGCTGAGACGGGGAGGGAGTGCCCCGGTGGGAGCAGGGGACAAGGGCATGATGGTGACCTGTGAAGGCCGGGAGGGGGGAGGAGGGGGAGGAGAGGCTTCCGAGTTCAGGTCAGCAGCGAGGCGACTGGAAGGTCAGAAAGCTGTCGGGGGCAGGACTTGGAGAACTGCCTCCTGAAGTCGGTGCCCGGTGCCCCGGGAGGAGCTCTGTTTCCACAAAGGAGAGCAGAGCTGGCCGCTCTGCTATTAAGGTTCGGAAGAAGTTCTTGGTTCAACGGCAGGAAAATAGTCGTATTGTAATTATATAGCTAGGCCAGTTTTGAAACTGAGGCTATGCGTAGGGGAGCACGTAGGAGAGCAGAAGAGAAGCAGGGACGTCGGGTGGGAACGGCAGTGGCCGGGCAGAGGGGGGGGCCAGGCTGGAGCAGCACAGTGCTGGGAGGAGCAGGAAGGGGGCATGGAGGGGAGGACGGGGGTGGGGGGGCCAGCCCCACGCTGGTCTGGGAGGGACAGGGACGCTCCAGAGCTTGCTTTGGAAATAAAATAACTTCCCAGTAAAAGCTTGTATGCTGTGACTTTGATGATTGTCAATTGGTCAAGAATTTGTGGCGTCACCAGAGAGGAGCGTGTGTTTTCATAAGAGCACCTTCACCGGGCTCCCCTGGTGGCTCAGATGGTGGAGAATCCACCTGCCACGCAGGGGACCCCAGTTCCATCCCTGGGTCGAGAAGACCCCTGGAAGAGGGCATGGCAACCCACTCCAATAGTTTTGCCTGGAGAATCTCAAGGACAGAGGAGCCTGGCAGGCTATAGTCCATGGGATCACGAAGAGTCAGACACGACTGAGCAGCTAACACTTTTATTCACTCCCAGGACTGGGCAGAGCTCCCCTGGCGAGTCTTTGTCAGAGCAAAGACGGTCCCTCTCAGGATCCCTGTTCACAAGGTGGTGTGTGAGTGTCTACTGCTGATTTGTTCTAGTATCGAGGAGTGAAAATTGATGTGAATTTTCAATCAAAGTTAGTTCTTTAATCATTTCTGTGCCGTTTGCAAGTGATGAGCTTTGCGCTTTGCAGGTCTCTTGTCTCAGACCGTGGCGCTGGCCTGTAGTGTTGGCGGCTGCGATGGGTGGGGAGGTGGGTCTCTTGTCTCAGACGGTGGCGCTGGCCTGCAGTGTTGGCGGCTGCGATGGACGGGGGCTCCGCTCCTAGTGGAGCATTCCTGCTGGTGGGTGCTCAGGGGCTTTGTAATGACCGCGCTCGCAGTGTTAGCGGTGAATGTGTGTGTGTGTGTGTGTGCACAGCTTGCTGTGTGTGTGCTGTATATATAGACTAGACGAAACATGGGGTTGTTGATCTTGCTTTTTTCACATAAGAAATAGCATTGTATTTGTTTGTTTTGTCTGAATCCAGGTCCAAGGCCACCTTTAGCTAAATCAAGCAATGTGATATGCATCCCACAGACAACCTATAAATATCCTGATTTGCCTATAAGCCGATGTAAAGAAGAGGTAACATTATTTTTCTCGTGATGTGGTTTTGCTGTTTGCATGCCAGCGACCCAGCGCTTGGTTTCTAGCTGACAGTGACGAGGGGCCGGGCGGGCACCGGAAGGCCCAGCTTCCCCCGAGCTCCACTTTTCCTGTCCAGTCCTTCGTCCCGTCTCTCCTGCTGTGCACTGGATGTGAGCTCACACTTGCCGGCCCAGGGGCTGCTGCTTGCAAGCCCCACTGCCCAGACCTGTTAGAACGCAGATGCTGCCTGCCCCTGGCCGCAGCCTCCTCTAGGATTCCACTGGGGCTCCTTTACACGCTGTTTGTGTTGCCTGTGATCGATCAGTCCTTGATACATCATTTTATGATCAGTGTCAGGCAATACAGCAGCAAGGTGATTGCATTTTTAATTAGTTGTGTGTTACTAGACCTGGTTGGGCTTCCCAGGTGGTGCTAGTGGTAAAGAATCTGTCTGCCTATGCAGGAGATGTAAGAAACGCCCGTGTGATCTCTGGGTCTGGAAGATCCCCTGGAGGAGGCCCTGGCAACCCACTCCAGCGTTCTTGCCTGGAGAATCCCATGGACAGAGGAGCCTGGAGGGCTGCAGTCCATGGGGTCGCAAAGAGTCAGACACAACTGAAGTGACTTAGCACAGCCTAAACCTGGTTAAAAGCAGATGTATTGAAATCGTAATTAACTGTACTAATGGAAGAAATGGTTATAGATGACAGGAAACTGTAAATGTTCTAAATTCATTTTTACTTTGTCTTAGATTGAATCTTGCAACTGTGTAGAGTAGATATGCTTTATTAATTTTAAGAGGCCAACATTAAAATTAATTTGCATCCCCTGACCATTTTGATGGCTAGAGTGATAACAGTAGTATTTTGGGTGGAGGTGGGGGAGGGGTGGATAACTGGGTTAGCGCTGCTCACACAGTCTGTGGAGCAGCGGAAGTTACTTGTTTTAAAGTGTGTCTGAAGAATTTCAAATGAGAATTGAGTGTACATTTCTTATGTGTAACAGCAGCTGTGTTTTCATGTTTCCCAGTAGAATTAGATGGAGACTCATCACATAATTTAAAAATAATAGAAATTTAGAGTTAACAAGAGCTATAGAAATTCAGTTTGGTATTTTCATTTTTATAGATGAAGAAGCTGAGACCTAGGGGGCAGTGAACTTGGCCTGGATTTCTGTAGCCATTCGTTACTGCTCACAGTGGTCAGATGTTTCAAGTGCAGCAACCACTAGTAACCTGTGTCCCTTTTGTGATGTTTAGGTGGTTAGGTTAAGGATTTAACTTGTAAGGATGAAGAGAAAAGAAATCCTGAAAGTCTTCCTGAGATTAAGCTTTCGGTTCATAGGTAACACTTTACATCATTGTTAAACTTGTGGCAATTTTGAAGGAATTCTTTTTACCCTTCTAGGTCATTTCTATGATAGAAAGCAATTCTGTGGTGATCATACACGGTGCCACAGGCAGTGGTAAGAGCACCCAGCTCCCGCAGTACATCCTCGACCACTACCTGCAGCGCTCCGCCTACTGCAACATCGTGGTCACCCAGCCGCGCAAGATCGGGGCCAGCAGCATCGCCCGCTGGATCAGTAGGGAGCGTGGCTGGGTTTTGGGTGGATTGGTGGGCTACCAGGTGAGCTTCTCTCTTTGTTCGCTTTGTCTTTTTTGTAGGTCGATGATAGGATGTGATTTATTTTCTGCTGGGAAAGAAGATGCAATCAGTTGCTTATGGAGCAGAATTACGGCATAATTTCAAAAATAGTGAAAATCGGAAGTTCTTGGAAATAGCTTAATTTCTTTCTCAGTTGAATAGAAAAGAAGTGAGAATTCTCAGACTCATGGCTTTTATAATTTTATCTTTAATTATATCTTTATGTTGAAGAGGTCTTTGTATATAGTCATCTCAACATGAAAATGATACAGGCAATATGACTAGTAAGCCAGTCTCTCCCCGCATCACCAAAGAAGAAAAATCAATTTGAGATTTTATGTTAGTTTAGACCCTATATTTTTTGCAATATATGATAATTTTTTGTTCCCTTTCTTACCTTCATTATGAAATTGACAGTGCCTTCTTTGTAGTTAAATGTAAACCATTTAAATGGAAAACTCTTTTTTTCCTTCCCCAATTTTAGGTAGGGTTGGAAAAAATAGCGACAGAAGACACCAAGTTAATTTATGTGACAACGGGAGTCCTGCTGCAGAAGATAGTCAGTGCCAAGAGCTTGATGGAGTTCACACACGTCTTCATCGACGAAGTGAGTGCTCTGCTCTCGTGCCGCTGTTTCTGTTTGATGAGAGAACACGGTGCAGGTGACCTGTAAAGTGTCAGACGGCTCTTTGAGTCTGTATGGGCTTGTTCTGCTCTTGGAAGTTGATTTGCTCTTTTCATCCTTTGCTCTTAACTTCCAAGACATGGGTGAGGAGGTTGAGGAGAATGCAGAGATTCCTTGTTTAGATCAGGGGTTGGCAGACTGCAGCCCTCATGCCAAATTTGGCCCATTTCTGCCAATAAAGTTTTGCTGGCACACAGTTCTGCTCCATGTATGAGTGCTGTGAGGATACTGCCGAAGGGATGGGTAGTTGGGATGGGGCCATATGTTCCGTGAAGCTGGACGTATTTGCCCTCTGGCCTTTTACAGGGAACGCCTGCTGACCCTGGTTTGGAGTATTAGCCACATCAGACAATTAAACTTTAATTGTCTGTAGGTGTTTTCAGCACCTTACAGATACTTTCCATCTAATAAAACAAGAATAATAAACAATAAAAACATCTTTTAAGAAAATGAATAGATGATATTAATCTATTCACTTTTCTAAAAAAAAAATCCCTAATGATGTACTGTGAACCCTTTCTTTGTGCCAGTCTTAGCTTTTTCCCATAAGGATGGAATATTTTAATTGATTTTCATTTGATTTGACTTTATTCTGTCTTCTTTTAGCCGTGCCGTGGGGCTTGTGGAATCTTAGTTCCCCAACCAGGGATTGAGCCCGCGCCCTCTGCATTGAATGTCGAGTCCTATCCACTGGACCTCCAGGGGATTTCCAGTTTTGTTTATATGTTAAACAAGGGTTTTTTGAGGTGAAGTGATGTTGTGTTCAAACAGTAGTCCGAGGAGCTCTGGAAGTACCTCCGCCCAGACTCTGGAGGTTTAAACCTCAGCAGTAGTTATGCCTCGAGAAGCTTCACTGGCTTCTGGAGGCCTTGGAAACAGCAGGCAAGTGGGATCTGTGGGAGACTGCGAGGTGGCTCTGGAGCGCCCGGCAGAGGCTGGAGTGAGGCCCCTGAGCGGCCCTCGGGAAGGCCTCTCCACTGTCGGTACGCGTGTGCTCAGCATGGAACCCGAACGTGCTGTCAGCGGGAATCATCAGTAAACAGTGTGCAGCAGGAATAGAGAAGGGTGTTACCTGAGCCAGACTGAGGATGATTGCCTGGGAGACCCAGATTCATGAAGCACTTGAATTGTGTTCTGGGCTATAGGGTGGGGGCCTGGAAAGGCAAAAACAGACGTGACGCGAGCTGTTGTCAAGAATCAGGACTGGAGCTGGGGAGAAGGGAGGGCGCCACTTATGCAAGGGTTGCTCGGGGTTAGACGGCTGCAGGGTTAGCGGAGACCTGAGACCATGGGGTTGCTGCTGGCAGAGCCCGTGTGAGGACGCGGTGGAGGCCTGGAGTCCGGCACACTTAAGGACATGCAGGTCCTCGGGGCTCCAGGGCCATCTGGGTTCATGTCCGCAGCGGCCTCCTGCTCCGCCCTGGATGACTGAACCACAGTTACTCCATCTTGGCTTTCAAATGCACCCTCTTCTTTAGTGGACAAAGAAGATGTATGATGTATGATGCTTGTGTGGCAGGCCACCAAACAAGGCTGCTCCAACTAGTGTAAAGTTCAAGCCATGCCATGTGTAAGCCAGAGTGACTTCCCCACACCTCAGTACGCGAGCATTTCTCCCATCGGTGCCGCAGGTAAAGCTGAGTGGGTGCATTTACTAGGTCGTGTACACGTACCTGGTTTTGTGTCACCCTTGGGTGTTTGGGAGAGGGAAATGCTGAACATGTTCTATTGTTCTTTGTGGTACAGTGGGATGCGCAGTGTGGCTCATGTTTTCTTCATGACTTTTGGCAGTTTTAAGTATCTTTAGGTGGTGTTGAAATCAAACTTAGACAGTATGCCCAAGGTGGTGTCAGTATGATAAAGTACACAGGAGTCACCGTTTGTCACTGAGCCTTTCTCTCAGGCCTCCAGGAGGCGTGGCAAGGCTCACCCTGGGTCACCTCCTCCAGAGTCTCTGCTGCTCAAGCTCCTGCTTGTCTCTGCAGGTCCAGCATCTTTCTGACTGTGTAGGGAGGTGTTTCTGCACTCGAAGACGTGAGTGACGTGGACACGCCTGTGTGCACGGTGTTGCTGGCGTCCTTCTCCTGAAGCTGTGTGGTGGTACCTGAGCACGTCAGCTGCCCTCCGCGGGAACTTGCCCCCACTGGAGCGTCTTCTCACTTAGCACTGTGATAACTGTTTGCTTAAAGAATGAATAGGTTTGGATAGGCCTGAAGTTTCATGTTTACAAAGAATATTGTTCCTGTTGTGTGGGATGATTTGAATTTCAAAACAAATACAAGAGCAGAAGCTGAAGGCAGCAGGCAGGAGAGATGGAATGATGCTGTTGCTCAGCGTGCCCCGCTCTTCGCAGCTCCACGGACGGCAGCACGCCGGCCTCCCCGTCCCTCACCATCTCCCAGAGCTGGCTCAGACTCGTGTCCATTGCGTTGATGGCACCATCCAACCATCGCTCCCTCTGTTATCCCCTTCTTCTGCCTTCAGTCTTTGCCAGCATCAGGGTCTTTTCCAGTGAGTTGGCTCTTGGCATTAGGTGGCCAAAGTATTGGAGCTTCAGCTTCAGCATCAGTCCTTCCAGTGAATATTCAGGGTTGATCTCCTTTATGATTGACTGGTTTGATGTGCTTGCAGTCCAAGGGACTCCCAAGAGTCTTTTCCAGCACCATAGTTCAAAGGCATCAATTTTTTGGCGCTCAGCCTTCTTTATGGTCCCACTCTCACATCCACACACGACCACTGGGAAAATCACAGCTTTGACTAGATGGAGTAATGTCTCTGCTTTTTAATATGCTGTCTAGGTTGGTCATAGCTTTTCTTCCAGGGACCAAGCATCTTTTAATTTCATGGCTTCAGTCACCATCTGCAGTGATATTGGAGCCCAAGAAAATAAGATCTGTCACTGTTTCCATTTTTCCTGATCTATTTGCCATGACGTGATGGGACTGGATGACATGATCTTCATTTTTTGAATGTTAAGTGTTAAGCCAGCTTTTTCACTCTCCTGTTTCGCCATCATCAAGAGGCTCTTTAGTTTTGCTTTCTGCCATAAGGATGGCATCTGCATATGTGAAGTTATTGATATTTCTCCTGGCAATCTTGATTCCAGCTTATGCTTCATCCAGCCTGGCATTTCGCATGATGTACTCTGCACATAAGTTAAATAAGCAGGAAATGGAATGGTCTCGTCCTTAACTTCTTAGCTCTGGGAAGAGAATAAACCCACTTCAGGTGAATCATTCATTCAGTAAACATTTGCAGAGCGCCTGCCTCATTAGGTGCTGAGGTCATAAAGTTGGAGAAGCTGTAGTTTCTGCTCTCAGCCTCTCTGCTGGGGGGACAGATGTCTGCTGAGGTGTGACTATGTGGACGGAGGAAGGCCAGCGTCAGGGAGAGGACTGCGGGACCCCGGGGTGGAGGGCCGAGTGGGTCCTCGGGCAGGAGGGGCGCCTGGCCTCCAGCAGCGGGGAGAGGCGGTCGTGTGAAGTCTGAGCTGTGGGGGCCGGGGGCCTCGGTGCCGAGGAGGGCCCTCTCGGGGCTCTTACCGAGGACAGCCCTTGTTTCTGCTTCTCAAGTGCAGGGCAGCACGTCCGTGTTGCGGTGCTGCGCTCAGCGCTGGGTTTGCCGAGGGAACGAGGGAGAGTTGGGTTTCTGAGCGGTCCGGCCAGAGAAGCCGCTGTGGAGCCTCTCGCCCTGCGGAGAAGGGGCTCCCCCTTTGGGACTCAGGGGCTCGTCTCTCCGCGTCAGCAGAGGCATGGCCCAGGGAGGAATCCCCTGTGCCCGGGGCAGCCTGGTCAGTGTGAGAAGCACCACACGTGACTCGGCCCTTGGCGTTATCTGGTGGGGGTGGGCAGGGCTGGGGTAGGCAGGCCCTGGGGGGATTCGACTGGAAGGCACTGTCTGCATGGGGCAGCTTTCCACAAGCAGCAGGCCCCTGGGGCCCTGTAGCCTCTCGTCCCAGATGCTCCTGCAAGGCTCCGGGCTGCCCTCTGCTCCTCCCCAGCCTTGCCCTGCTCGCTCCTGCCAAGCCGGCTCTTCCCAGGCCTCCTGTCAATCCCCGCCCTGCCGAGCAGGCAGCCTGCTGCCCCGCACACTGCTCGGCTGGGCCCGGGGCAGGAGCTGTGGGCCGGGCTGGCCGCGGGCGGCTGCTCTGTGCTTCTCCGTGTTGTCACAGGGGCCTAGGGCGCTGTTGGCATTGAGCGGGTGGGGCTGAGAGTGCTTGACGTTCCCCTGCCCGGATGCCAGTCGGGCCCACTGGGAACCCCGGGGTTGGGGGGGGGGGGGCAGTGGCCCACACGCCTCTCCTGCTCGTCCTTGTTTGGGGCTGAGTGACGGTGTCCGTCGCGGAGCCTTGGCCCCGGCCCCGGGCGCAGCAGTGAGCCCTTCCCTCCGGTGACTCAGCACTGACCGATGCCTTCCCATGTGGGGGCCTTCCTTCTTATTTTGTAGGTACATGAGCGAACTGAAGAAATGGATTTCCTGTTGTTAGTTGTCCGCAAACTTTTAAGAACAAATTCACGTTTTGTGAAGGTAAAGTTGATTTCATGAGTAACTGAAATATTTAGGGTTAAAGTTTATTATGTAGTTTTGTTCAGTAGAAATGGTTGAAAGCACTGACTCTTAAAATCGTTGTCTCTGCAGGCCTCCAGATCTTGCTAGGAAGCTGGCTAGAGGGCCTTCTTTTGGGATCAGACTGGAAGAGTTTTTCGTTATGATGTTGCATTAAATTGTAAAATATTCTCCAGATTTTAGAAAATAATGAAATGCTGGGTATTGGAGCATGGCTTTGGGCTGAATAAGTACCAGTTTGAGGGAATGTGACTCGTGTCTGTCATCTCTGTTTTATAAGCAGCGCTGAGTCGCACTGAAGTTAGTGGTTATATGCCCTGCTTTTATAGGAGACTTACGCTAGGAGCTAACCAAAAGTCTGTGGGAATGGCCAATATAGTTTACATTTTATCTGAACTGAAAGGATGAGGACGTGACCTTGGCCAGAGTAGCAGAGGGTTTATAATTATTATGCAGTCTAGACACCGATCAGCCTGGCTCTGCTCTGCGGGAGTCTTCCCGCGCCGCGGTGACTGGTGCGGTCATTCGTCACGGGGAGGGCTGTGAGAGGACTTGCTGTTTCCGGAACCCAGGTGCCCTCTAGACCGCACGGTGCCTTGTCTGCACATGTTCCGTCTCTCGGCTCACCTAGGGAGACGTTCCTCCCTCCCCACCTTCCAGGGTGGGTACGGCAACCTTGGGAGGGTCACAGTCTCTCCTGGTGGGCACTGAGGAAGTAGAACCCGAGGCTTGCAGTAGGCTGACTTAGTGCTTAAGATAGGTTTTCCTGACAGCTCAGTTGGTAAAGAATCCGCCTGCAATGCAGTAGACCCTCGCTCGATTCCTGGGTCAGGAAGATCCACTGGAGAAAGGATAGGCTACCCACTCCAGTATTCTTGGGCTTTCCTGGTAGCTCAGCTGGTAAAGAATTCGCCTGCAATGTGGACGACCTGGGTTCAACCCCTGGGTTGGGAAGATTCCCCGGAGAAGGGAAAGGCTACCCACTCCAGTATTCTGGCCTGGAGAATTCCATGGACTGTACAGTCCATGGGGTCGCAAAGAGTCGGACACGACTGAGCAACTTTCACTTTCACTGCTTTAGATGACCATCACGTGATGCAGAGAATCAACAGATCCAGACCTTTCTTGATGATCATGTTTTAATAGTAATTCTACTTACTTCTGGCTGCACTGTGGACTTCCTCTCGTTGCCACGGGAAGGGGCTGCTCTCTCGTTGGGGGGCGCGGGCTCCGGGGCGCTCCGGCTTCAGGGGCTGCACTCTGGGCTCTGGAGCACAGACTCAGTAGCTGATCCCCTGGCGTGTGGGATCTTCCTGGATCAGGGACTGAACCGTGTCCCCTGAATTGGCAGGCAGGTTCTTTATCACTGAGCCACCAGGGAAACCCATGATTGTCATTTTAAGACTACTGTAAGATAATAACTTGATTATGGGTTTTTTTTTTCTAGTTTTTAGGAGTTAAGAGAGTTAAGAGTGTTGGTGAATTTTAAAAAATCTGCTACACTACTGGAAATGGTGCTCAGGAATTTGGTACTGATCATATGCATAGTAGGAAATGGCTTGTCAGTTTCAGTCTTTTCATGATTTATTAAAAAAATGTTTGAAGCATAATGCTTTCTGAATATAGAACCTTGTAATGGTGTATGTAGTTGGGCTAAGAAACTAGAAGTCATGTTCTGTATGGCTTTGTAGTAAGTGTTTTGAAACTCTCGAAACTTCCTCCCTTACTCCGTTTTAAAAGGAGAGCTGCCGTGGGGGCCTTAGATGCAGGAACCTGGGCAGATGGGCCTTCCAGTCCCCCTTCTGCTCTGCACCCAGACCTCCAGAGGGCCCCAGCTTCATGCTGTCCCCTGCCTGCCGACCCTGCTGTCGGCGCTGGCTGCTCAGACTCAGCGGGGCCCCCTGGACAAGCAGGTGTCAGGGCAGGCAGGCTGCTGAGCATCTGCAGGGACGAGCGGAGAGCTGAGCTGCAGGGAGGATGCAGGGCGGGGAGGCTGCGGCAGCCTGGGCCGACTGTGGCCGTCAGCAGTGCAGATTCGCGCTTAGGTGGGACAGAAGCCCTGAAGCGCCCTAGCCTGGCGGCTCTGGCAGACGCGTTAGAGCTCTTCTGCTGGGACAGGTGTGCCCTTGGGGGCCATTAGTAGCACCCATGGGGCCTCACAGAACCTGGCGTCTGAGTGAGCTCTGGTCGGTGGGGTTTTGACCTTTCGTTTCTGACATCAGAGGGGAAATACAGACATTCTGTCTGCCCAATAAGTGTATTAGTAATGTCTGTGTAAAGTTTTTACTTTTCTGCGAAGACTTAGACTTCAGAAATGCAGCCAGCAGCCAGCAGCCAGCTCTGCTGCCTCCCGCTTAGCATTTTGGGGCCTGGCGGGCGGTGGAGACCCTGTTAGTGCCTTCTCCAGGGCACAGCTGGCGGGCTGCAGATGCTGCTTCTGGCCGTCACGGCTGAGTTCTTCAGGATGTCATCCCAGATTTGCTTTCTGGCAAAACTGAAACCTGCAGGGAGCCCCCGAGCCTCTGCCGTCCACTGAGTTGGGACTGGTTGCCGGGCGCCTCCCGTTTCTCCGCTTAGGGTCAAGGTTTCCTGGCTCCCTTGTCTTCTTCCTCGTGGCCGCTCTGTTCTCTCAGCTTTCTGGAACACGCCGTCTGGAGCTTGCTCTGTCCTAAATTAGTTTTCTGATGCAAGTGTCCTCTTAGGTAAATGGTTGTAATTGAGCTTTATTGGAGAAGTGTAGTTTCTCACTTGATAAAGTAATTGAAGAGAAATTGTAAAAGTTGACATCTCTGAGCATTCTTTAGATTGTAATAATTTGTATTACACTGGAGATCAAGTCAAAGTATTCAATGAAAGTTTTGAAAATTACTAAAACAAGAGAAGCCTGGGCTTCTGAAGAGCCTTTCAGTCATCATCATGGTTGTCATTATTTTGTCTGTCTTGATGGTTTCTCCTCCTCTAGGTTGTCCTCATGTCAGCCACCATCAACTGTAGAGAGTTTGCAGATTACTTTGCTGTTCCTGTTCAGAACAAGATGAACCCAGCTTATGTTTTTGAAGTGGGAGGAAAACCCTTTTCAATTGAGGAGTATTACCTTAACGACTTGGAGCACATTCATCATAGCAGGGTATGTTGGAACGCATTGTTTCTTTTACAATGGGCCCATCCCATGGATGGAGGAGCCTGATAGGCTACAGTCCATGGTGTGGCAAAGAGTCGGACACGACTGAGCTACTTCTTTGTCTCTCTTCTCTAGTGTGGTAAGTACTGGTGACTGGGTAAAGTAGAAAATTGCTTAAGATAAAGGTTAAACATCAAGCATGTTTACTCAAAGTTAATTGACTAAATAGAAGATAATTTGTCATGCTTACATTAGTAGAATTGTAATAAGGAAACAGATTATTTAAGTACTAACTGACTTAATTTACTCTAAAAATTGGAAAAAACTTGGTATTTGTAGCTAACTTCTCCTAAAGTCTTTTTCTGATATGTTCTGCACACAATCAAATGCTATGTCTTTTTATACAGTACTTGATAAGTAAAATTATTAAACAAAACAACTCTCTTATTCTTGGTGAAAAACTGCAGTATGGCTATAAAATAGATTTTATGGAAACTATGATGTAATGGTGGGTATTCTAGGGAGATGCATTCCCAGTGATGGCCTTGGTCATGTGAATGCTGTCAGCTCAGACTGGTGGTCCTGAGCTCCCCAGGGGGTGGTGGGTGTGGCTGAACCGCAGTGTTCCAGAGGCCGCCCGAGGGCAACTGTAAAGGGACTGGGCTCCCGGGCTGGTGTTAACACCCGTTCAAAGCGGGCCAGTCGCTCCCACAGAGCCCTGGCGGCCGCGATGCGCCGTGGCCACCGTCGCAGGCGCAGGCGGACCGGTGGTCTCCCCGGCGGGCTCAGTCCTCGGCTCTCCGGGGTGGGTTGACAGAGGGGAGGGGAAGCTCCTCCTGGCTCCACGGGCATTTGGAGCTCCTTTTCCGTGTCTTCAGAACAGACGTCCTGCCGGACCTTTGACTTGTGCCGTGTGCGCCCTGACCGCTCCTCTGCCCCAGCGGCGGGGTCAGGGCGGTGCCGGTCGGGGCTGTGTGTCGGGGGCTTGTTGTTTAGCGAGTGCCTGGATCCTGGCTGCCCGCGATACCATGTTCATTTGGGGTGTTTGTTACGAGTTCCCTTGGTGAACCTCTTTGGTATTCCACCGTCCCTTCTTCCTCTTTATAGCTTTCTCCTCACCTCCTGGAGGAGCCAGTGATAACCAAGGCTGTCTATGAGGTTGCCGTCTCCTTGATTCAGATGTTCGATGACTTGGACATGAAGGAGAGTGGGTAAGAGATCCTCCAGCGGGCTGTGAGCTTCAATGGGATTGGGAAGTCTTTGTTCATTTTGAAGAATTTTAGTGTTTTTATCATATTAACTATAGATTTCTTTTCAGTGGTCACTCTATATAAAGTTCAGTTCAGTCACTCAGTGGTGTCCGACTCTGTGACCCCATGAATAACAGCACGCCGGCCTCCCTGTCCATCACCAACTCCCAGAGTTTACTCAAACTCATGCCCATTGAGTCAGTGATGCCATCCAGCCATCTCATCCTCTGTCATCCCCTTCTCTTCCTGCCCCCAATCCCTCCCAGCATCAGGGTCTTTTCCAATGAGTCAGCTCTTCATATGGGGTGGCCAAAGTATTGGAGTTTCAGCTTCAGCATCAGTCCTTCCAGTGAACACCCAGGACTTATCTCCTTCAGGATGGTGTGGTTGGATCTCCTTGCAGTCCAAGGGACTCTCAAGAGTCTTCTCCAACACTATAGTTCAAAAGCATCAATTTTTCGGCGCTCAGCTTTCTTCACAGTCCAACTCTCACATCCACACATGACCACTGGAAAAACCATAGCCTTGACCAGATGGACCTTTGTTGGCAAAGTAATGTCTATGCTTTTTAATATGCTGTCTAGGTTGGTCATAACTTTCCTTCCAAGGAGTAAGCGTCTTTTAATTTCATGGCTGCAGTCACCATCTGCAGTGATTTTGGAGCCCAAAAAAATAAAGCCTGACACTGTTTCCACTGTTTCCCCATCTATTTCCCATGAAGTGATGGGACCAGATGCCATGATCTTAGTTTTCTGAATGTTGAGCTTTAAGCCAACTTTTTCACTCTCCTCTTTCACTTTCATCAAGAGGCTTTTTAGTTCATCTTCACATTCTGCCATAAGGGTGGTGTCATCTGCATATCTGAAGTTATTGATATTTCTCCCGGCAAAATTAAAGTTAGTATCTAACAAATGTTTTACTGGAAATTTATATTTTAAAGCAGTTAAAACCATAGTAAGTACAGTTTTAGGGCTGACAGGTTTTAAGCTGGAAACTGCGGCCTGAAGATAGACATGCAGAAGTCATGCCTTGCCCAGTCCCGAGGTAAAACTTGCAGGACTGTTGTGGGAGAGACTGTTGAATGCTTTCTTTGCCTTTGATTCCATTTATCCTAAAGCTCTATTCCTGATTCTAGACAGTTAGCCATTGTCATTCAGATGCCTGTTAGTTGACTGGCTCTTGGAAACCTAGAAGGTATTTTCCCTTAAGGGCAGTTTTAGGTTACAGGTGTGGTTAGAGTCTTTCAGGATATTACACTGCATTAAAAAATAAAAACTTTTACTGTTTACATATTGGAACAACAAGCAGAATACAGATTCCGCCTCCTCATGGTAACCAGCCCTGGACTTCTCGGAAGGCTGTTCTCTGTAGACTGTAGGCACGCACAGACGCGGCACTTCTCTGCTTTTAGCTGTTGGTTGTGTGATGTGAATGTGCAGTGAGTGTCAAGGTATCGTTGTCCTGCCTTCTTGCCCAAGGATGCCGTGGAGGGAGGCAGATTCAGAATAGATTTCCTGCCGACGCTGCACTTGGGTCTGTCTGGATTCTGTCTGGACTCTCCTCTGCTGATCCAGTGACAGGGCCAGGGACGTACCAGGACCACGTGTGCCTTGGGCCTTGAGCAGTGCTTGACCCCCCAGTTGGAAAGTAACAGCTTACGTGCAAATGAGTACCATTTTTAACTGTTTTTAAGCTCCCACAGTTTTTTGTTATTTTTATATGATCAGTGGGTTTACATTTAGTCAAATACATGTCATTTTATGCATCATTCTTTCATCTTAGACTTTCTTTCTTAGATCGTTTCCATTCATCCCAAAGCATGTCCTTCAGAAGTTTGAGTCTGTTGGTAAACCTTCTCAGGTTTTATATGGCTAAAAAAGCCTCACGCTCATTTGAGAAACGCGGTTTTGTAAAATGTAAAATTTGGTTTCTGTTTCTCTCCTTACATGTACTTTTTCTAATTTTTTAGTTTAAATGACTTTATTGATAAGTAATTTACATATGTCAAATGCACCCACTTTTATTGTTCTCTCGGTATTTTATATTTTCCCATAATCTTCTGGCTTCTCTTATTATGGTGAGGACCTTTTGCTTCAGCGGCTCCTCGTAGGTAGGTGTGTCTGTGCCTGGTTGACCCTTGGTCGCGTTCCTGCTCTTTGAGGCTCCTCGTAGGTAGGTGCGTCTGTGCCTGGTTGACCCTCGGTGTCCCTGCTCTTTGATACCCTGCGGTGTGGCTGCTGTCTGTGGAGAGCTGCGGCCGCCTTTTCATGAACCTCGTGAGGCTCTGTGGGCTCAGGGCGTCTGCGTGCTGCTGCCGGCGGCTTTCCCTCCAGCGGTGTCATCTGTTCAGATTCTCTCTTCCCTTTGATCAGTTTCAGTGGTTGGTGTCTTTTAGGACTGTCCATTTCCTGTCTGTTTCTGATCTGTTGGCCTTTGGTTGCTCATGGTGCTCCTTTACAGTCCTTTTCCTTTCTGTCAAGTCAGCAGCAGTGTCTTCTCTTTGATTTTCTTTTTTAAATAGCAGGACCTATTTTATTTATTTATCTTTTAACAGAAAGCAGTTTAATTACTCTCTGGCTGCAGGCTCTGTGCGGCTGTGCTCAGGCTTTCTCTAGCTGTGGAGAGCGGGGCTCCTCTTACTGTGAGCGCAGGCTCCTCTTGTTGTGGAGCACAGGCCCGAGGCACTTGGGCTTCAGCGGTCGCTGCTCGCGGGCTCAGTCGTCGTGGCGCGTGGGCTTAGCTACCCCGTGGCATGTGGAATCTTCCAAGACCAGAGATCGAACCTGTGTCCCCTGCATTGGCAGATGGATTCTTACCCACCGCGACACCGGGGAAGCCCCTCTTTCATTTCTGACTGTAGTAACTGGACTCTTTCTTTGGTCAAACTAGGTAGATTTGTCAGTTTGTCTTTTCAAAGAGCTAGGTTTTTGTTTTCCTGTTGTTTTTCTTTCTCTGTTTCATTAATTTCCACTCAACTCTTTTTTTTTTTTTTTTAATTCTTGGAGAAGCCAAGAAACAACAGTCCACGCCATTCCTGGGAAAGAGGCGAGGTGAGAGGGCAGCCCAGTGGCCACAGTCTCACTGCTGAGCTGAAGGTTCCCAATTCCTTGTTCTTGTCGGTCTCTCCGGCCGGGACGTGAGCAGGGCAGGGAGCGGACTGTCTCGCTGCTGTGCCGGCGCCTGGGCGGGCCACGGGGGTTTGTGGGGGAACCAGAGTCCTGGCTTCACACGAAGCAGATGGGCTGATGGAGGCAGGAGGCAAGGGGGCGGCTTGAGATCTTGGTATATAAAAATGCTTTCTGATAATCGTCTTGATTCCTTGTAAGTTTAAGTTTTGTTTGTAATAGTTATTCTAAATGTTTTGTACTTTGAGAGTCTAGATTACAGTAACTAAACATCAGAGACTTTTGCCGATGATGAGTTTTAATGGAGAAAGGAGTCAGGAGGCTGGAGGCCCCTTGGCTCCCTGGGGGGCGCTGGGCTGTGTCTCCCGTCCCGGGGCCTTGTGTTGTCCTATGTAAAGGACAGAATGTTGCAGTGGGTGACCTGCAGGTAAGAGCCTCTCCCGGTTAGAAGCCTGTACTCCCAGGGCTCTGTGAAAACCACGGCTACTTCTCCTTGACTAATTCTTGTGCACCTCACCTTTTAACAGGGCCAAGACCCGGTCGGGCACCCCGTTTGTGTCAGAGCGAAGCAGTGTGCTGGTGTTTCTGCCGGGTGAGTGCCATCCTTTCATGACGTGGCATCGTGCTCAGGATGGAGGCTGGTTTGTGTCTAGCACATATGGTGAAATGTGGTGTTCGTAGTGTGGGTTTCTTGTTGGACTCTGGGAATGGGGATGGGTGGGGTTCTCAGTCTGACTTCTTACTATAACCTTTGTGTTGCTAAAAATGTTGGTAATTAAGAGTTTAATGTTATTTTTGAGAGCAATCTGGCCCCCTTCAGGAAAAATTTGTCTATGTTAAGTTTGCTATTTTTGAGGTAATTGTCATCCATCTGTATTTAAAGGTCATTTAATAATAACATCATTATTGTAATACCATGAAAATAATCAAGGTAGTCCTTGAGTTCTTTTCTCTTCAGTATTTGAGAAAATAATCTGTTTAAGGTACTTGACAATATGCAGTTCAGTTCAGTCCCTCAGTTGTGTCTGACTCTCTGCAACCCCATGGACTTCAGCACACCAGACTTCCCTGTCCTTCACACCGTCTCCTGGAGCGTGCTCAAACCCATGTCCATCGAGTCGGTGATGCCATCCAACCATCTCATCCTCAGTCGTCCCCTTCTGCTGCCTTCAATCTTTCCCAGCATCAGGGTCTTTTCCAATGAGTCAGCACTTCACATCAGGTGGCCAAAGTATTGGAGCTTTAGCTTCAGCATAAGTCCTTCCAGTGAATATTCAGGACTGATTTCCTTTAGGATTGACTGGTTTGATCTCCTTGCAGTCCAAGGGACCCTCAAGAATCTTTTCCAACACCACAGTTCAAAAGCATTAATTCTTCGGTGCTCAGCTTTCTTTATGGTCCAACTCTCACATCCATATGTGAGTATTGGAAAAACCATAGCTTTGACTAGATGGACCTTTGTTGGCAAAGTAATGTCTCTGCTTTTTAATATGCAGTCTAGGTTGGTCATAGCTTTTCTTCCAAGGAGCAAGTGTCTTTTATTCATTTGACAAGATTAATCTATGTTAAATTGTACTTTTTCCAAAATGATGTTTTTTTAATGACTTTTTAATTAAGTGATACAGCTTGATGAAATCTTATGACATTTCCTGAGTTTTTTTTGTTGTTGGAAAGTAATATGTAGAGGATGTGGGTATTTGTGCCAGTTTTGGTGGAGAACAAAAAGCATGAATTAAAGGTAACTTATTTTACTTTGGAATACAACATGTGAGTTGAAAGTGCTGATCATGTGTTGCTTAAGTTGATATGGATTAGTTTTGTATTTGATACTGATGAGTTTTGTATCCAGAAGACAGCCATCAGCGGGCAGTGGTGTGGCGCTGCGTTTGCCCGTGTAGACATCTGTCAGCGAGTTCTGTGTGCGTGACGTAGGAGGACGCGCTGGAGGGGAGCCGGGGCAGTGCGCTCCCGGGAACCCCTGACGCCGGGGGCGCTTTCCGCCGCTGCTCGCCGCCGGAGCGAGGTGACAGCTTACAGCCCAGCCTGTCCTCTGTTCCGTGTTTATGTGAGCTCGGGTTTGAGAGTATCTTCGTCTCATTAACTTATCTTTTGGGAATGGTTCCGTGTTAGTGCTTTTAGGGCTGCTATAACAGTGCTATAAACCAGAAGGCTTAGAGCGGCAGGCATTTATCCTCTCGCTGTTCTGGAGACTGGAAGTAAAAATCAGTGTCTCAGGGCCCTGCTCCCCCTGAGGCTCCAGCTGGACTCCTCCCCGGCCTCTTCCTGCTTCTCCTGGCCGGCAGCCTTTGGCCTCCCTTGGCTTGTGGCTGTAACACTTCTCCTTCTGCCTTGATTGTTACGTGGTGTTTTGTGTGTGTGTGTCTTACAAGGACACCAGTCCTATTGAAATAAAGGCCTAGTCTTCTCCAGTGTGACCGCCTCTTAACTAATTAGATCTGCAGTGATGCTTTATTTGCAAATAAAGTCACATTCTGAGGGACTGGGGTTGGGGCTTCCACATCTTTTGGGGGACACACAGTTCAACCCATAGAGGTTCAAATATTGATAATTCAGGATGTGGCAAAATCATGCGCAAACTTTATATATATCAATGAGCATTTCTGAACCTAATGAGAAAGATGTAGCATATCTTTGTGACCAATACTTTTTAAATACTAGTTTTTGGTTGTAAAATTTTTGCATAATTAATGTAGGACATTTGGAAAAGCAGTGGAGGGGGGCAGGAAATGTAAAATTACTCATGGGGCCAGCACTCACAGGCAGTCGTTGTGGAAAGGAGAACACTGGAAGAATATGGCTCTTCTCATGTTTTTGAGTTACTGGTAGAGCCGACTCATTGGCAAAGACCCTGATGCTGAGAAAGATTGAGAGCAGGAGAGGACGGCAGAGGATGAGCTGGTTGGCTGGTATCACCAACTCAGTGGACATGAGTTTGCGCGAGCTCCGGGAGACGGTGAAGGACAGGGGAGCCTGGCGTGCTGCAGCCCAGCTGCAAAGAGTTGGACACGACTTCGTGACCAAACAACAACAAAAACAATATTGTACACTTGTCACTTGTGATACTGATGTATTTAGGTGAAGAGGATAAAAAAGTCAAATAAAATGAATTGGTAGTACCATCTTTGAAAAAGATGTCATCGTAAAGGTTGTTTTTTAGAAATGAATACAGATCTCTTTTTTTCTCCTCCACTCTCTTTCTTCTCTAGGTCTGGGTGAAATAAACTATATGCACGAACTTCTCACAAACATGGTTCATAAAAGGTGTGTTTAAAATGATAACCTGTATGTTTTCACTTGTAAAGCGTTGTGTTGTTTCTGCCCTAAATCATTTTAATTATCTTAATGAGTAGTTACTCATTTTCGTATATATTTTCCCTTTGTGGATATTTTATTTCTTTTACGTCTTTTCTAGGTTGCAGGTCTATCCACTCCATTCAAGTGTGACTTTGGAGGAGCAGAACAACGTGTTTTTAAGTCCAGTGCCTGGGTACAGAAAGGTGGGATGGCTGGGGCACCTGTCCTGAGCTTTGAGCACCTTCTCCTTAGAGACCCTGCTGATGAGACCCTGACAGCCCCGCAGGTGGTGTGGCGGGCTCTGTAGCGGTGGTTAGTCTCCACGAGTGCATGCTGATGAGCCAGGTGTATAAGTTCATTTTGCCTTTGTTTTGTAAGTCTATTTGCTAAGGTGTGTCATTTCCACAGCCTCAGGGCCTTGTCTGTCGTGGGTTCAGGGCCTCCTGTCTCTGGCACTGCCCTGGAGATTGTGGTCAGAGCCCACACTCTTGATCCTGCTTAAGAGCATTTCTTTAATCCTTTACGGGTGGGTGATGGGGTTATCTTGTCACAGCCCTTGGAGTGTGGCTTCAGATCTCAGGCCCCGAACGTGCGGCTCAGCCCCCTGATTCCGGGAGAAGCTTTCGCGTCTCTGGGGCAGCCTCGGCCTTGCTGGCACCTCGGGGCTCTCAGGTGCTGCAGCCCTGCAGGGCCTCTGCCGTGAGTCTGTCGTGCTCTGCCCCCTGGGTGATCCCAAGACCCCCGAAGCGACCGCATCTGGGGTCAGGGAGAGCTGCCTATGCCGTTTCTCGCCTGCTGCATTTCGCACCTGCTGTGTGCATGAGCCTGGTTTTCTGTGCATTGAGAACTCTGCTGGACCTCCGAGAGCGATTCCACCAGGAAAAAGCTGTAACTTCACATGGAGGTGAAGGGTTAAGCGCATGCATGTGGAATTGGACAGATGACTCGAGGCTCTGTCCCTTGTACGTGTGTGCCTTTGAGCACCTTGCTTCTGCAAGGCTTAATTTTAGTGTTTGAAAGTAGAATAAAATCACCTTGCTGAGCTGTTAGGAAGGTCAGTTATGATAGCATTTGTCTGTCCTTAAACTGTGGGGGTGGTGCCGCCCGACACAGGTATGTCCAGTAACCAGATGGGGGCGCTGTGGGGAGTGCTGAGCGCTCGGTTCATGCCGGGAGCAGTTCTAAGCATTCTCTGTTTATTAACCCAAATAATAGGGTGGGTATTACTGGTATCTCCATTTGTAGACGAGAAGAACGAGGTGAGTGGTCCAGGGTCCCACACTGGTGTGGAGCAGAGCTCCCTGCCCTGACTCCTCCTCCTCACCTCACCCCCGAGACCCTTGACCGGCTGTGGGCTTTAGTGTAAAATAGAAAAATGGCTAATTTTAAAGTTTGAGTTCAGTGTTTTTGTCCTTAAATGATTTTGAGTCGCTTTATTTTCGCTTCGCCTGATGCCTCCCCATATGTGTGAGTGTGTCAGATTCCTTTCTTCTTTGTTTGGCAGATCATTCTGTCCACCAACATCGCAGAGAGTTCCGTCACGGTTCCAGACGTCAAGTACGGTGAGATCTCCGTCTCCCCAGCGTGGCCGTGGCCGTTGTGGCCGTGGCCGTCGTGGCCTGTGCCCCTCGGGAGGCCCCTGCCCCTTCATTGTCTCCTCCCTGTTCTGGGGGAGAGAGTAGGAACCTGGGCGCAAGCTCCATGCTCTCCTCTGAGCATGTGCGTCCTTTCACGTGGGCAGCCTCTGGGCACGGTCACTAACACAGGAAGTGATCCGGGGCGTGCCAGGGGTCTGTGGGCAGCAGAGCTTTGGGGCTGCCCCGCCGGACTTCGTGGCTGGAGGGAGGACCCCGAGTCCTCCGTGTCGCTGAGGGCGGCTGAGAAGGACCCCACGTCAGCGCAGGGGTGAGGGCCTCAGGCTGGGCGCCCACCTGTGTGCCCTTGATGACCCTGGGAGGCTGTGGGCTCATGTTCGGGGGCCGAGGGGCTTCCCTGGCGGCCCAGTGGTTCAGGTTGCGCGCCCAGCGCGGGGGGGCGTGGGGCGCATCCCTGGCTGGGGAGCCAGGTCCCGCCTGCCGAGCATCACAGCCAAGACAAAGTCTGGAGCCTGCCACGTGCCAGGCAGTGTTCACGCCGGGAGGCCTGCAGGGTGGATAGGATGCGTCTTCTGGGGGGAGAGACAATTCACAGGTAAAGAAGTGTGTGTGGTTCTGGTCGAGATGGACGCACACAGGAAAATCGCTCAGAGAAACGGGTTACAGTCAATTGCTCCCAGTGACGTTTCGGTTGGGGCCGTGGGGGGCCCCTCTGAGCAGGCCACAGCTGAGGGGGCTCGACTCGGGGGGCCTGAGCGGCGGAGCCGCAGGGCGCCGGCGTGGGGCCAGGCCCGCGGGCCATCTCGGGGCTGCACACAGTGCCCAGACCACGCGCGTCTGTGCTCGTGACGCGGGGGCGGGCGGGCGCCGACCGGCGATAAGTAACCGCAGCGCAGGGTGACTGCGGGTGTCGGAGGGTGAGGCGCGGGCAGAGGGGCGGGGGCCTGTGCTTGGGCAGGAGGCAGGGCAGGCCGTTAGACGAGGGGCGGGACAGACCGCCTTCCGCGTGTGGGCCGTCAGAGCTGCTGGGGAGGGTCGCAGGACAGCGGTGGGGGAGCTCCCGTTCCAGAGAGGAGTCTGGAGATCGAGCCTGACGGGGTGTCGGGTGGGGGGCGGAAGGCGAGGTGGGTGGAGGATGGGTGCAGGACGGAGGGCCCGGATGCTGCCGGCCCGTGTCTGGGAGTGGAGGTCCCCGCGGGTGATGGTGGGAGAGGTGTTCAGAGCCCAGCGGAGGGGGATGGGCTGGGGGCGCCGCGCAGGAGGCTCCCCCGGAGGTGGGCAGCACTGAGGAGGGGCGAGCACGTGGGGCGGGGCCAGACCCGCTTCCCGAGTGGAGCCTGCCTGCTCCGTGCTGGGCCTGGGGCATGGGGAGAGCGGCATGGGTCCTGTCCCCGGTGTTAGAGCGGAGGACCCTGACACAGACACGAGCAGCCGCCCCTGCCCCGCACACGCACACACACACATGCACACACACAGAGCTGAGACCTGACTGCGCGCTCACACATTCACACGCACATACACACAGCTGAGACCTGACTGTGCGCGCACACACACACACACACACGGACACACACACAGGGCTCAGACCTGACTGCACACACACATTCACACGCACATACACACAGCTGAGACCTGACTGCGCACACACACGCGCATGCACACACACACACGGCTGAGAACTGACTGTGCACACACATTCACACGCACATACACACAGCTGAGACCTGACTGCGCGCACACACACACACACACACACACACGGAGACACACACAGGGCTGAGACCTGACTGCGCGCGCACACACACACACACACACACGGAGACACACACAGGGCTGAGACCTGACTGCGCGCGCGCGCACACACACACACACACACACACACACACACACGGACACACACACAGGGCTGAGACCTGACTGCACACACACATTCACACGCACATACACACAGCTGAGACCTGACTGCGCACACACACACACACACACACACACACACACGGACACACACACAGGGCTGAGACCTGACTGCGCGCGCACACACACACACACACACGGCTGAGACCTGACTGTCCCCGCTTCAGCTGTGCTTCTGCACGGCTGCGAGTCCCCGGAGGCTGGTGTGGCAGCCCGCACCAGCTCCCTGTGCCGCGGGGGCTCTGATAGGCAGTCCTCTTTCTGTCCAGATGCCCAGTCTGAAGGGGGAGAGCGTGACCACCGCTTCCCCGTCCCGGGCAGCCGGGAACGGCCAGTCTTTTCCGGAGGCTGCTGTGTGTGTAGCGGTTCTAAAGGCTGTGTCCCCAAAATCAGCTTATTGCTCTGCACTCTGATTGTTACTGTTATTTCTTGCTAGCCTGGCATTTACATTCCCTTTTTTATGACAGTTATAGATTTTTGTTTGACCAGAACTCTGGTTTGTGATGAAGACACGAATTACCAGAGTCTGCGGCTGAGCTGGGCCTCTAAGACCAGCTGTGAGCAGAGGAAAGGTAAGGTGCTTGCGTCCAGCCCAGCCCCAGGACTTGGTGACACTTTGGTGTACTTTTAAGTTTTTTGCTCTTTGTATGTTTAGTTAATCAGAGATTACCTTTATCGGATCCAGTTTTACGTGTAAAACAACAGCATCTCACACTATCAGACCCTCTGTCTACCTGCCCGACCCTCCTCTCCCCTGAAGAGCTGAGAGCGTTGGCACGTCCACCATGAGCGTGTGGTCGCCTTTCACGGTGACAGGTTATGAAAGCTGGCGCTCATGTTCTCATCTTTGAAAGTTTGCAACTTAAAGGGTTGTATGTAGAGGACTTATTGTATTTCCCCCAGTGTGTATTTTGTCTTTTACTCCTCTTAACAGGGTATTTCATAGAGAAAAAGTTACATTTTGGTGTGGTTTGGTTTATTGATGTCAGTTTTTCTTTTTATGGATCATGCTTAAGATGTGATGTAAGCAAAAATAAACTCAAAATGGATTAAAGATCTAAATGTAAGACCAGAAACTATCAAACTCCTAGAGGAGAACATAGGCAAAACACTCTCTGACATAAATCACAGCAGGATCCTCTATGACCCACATCCCAGAATTTCAGAAATAAAAGCAAAAATAAACAAATGGGACCTAATGAAACTTAAAAGCTTTTGCACAACAAAGGAAACTATAAGCAAGGTGAAAAGACAGCCCTCAGATTGGGAGAAAATAATAGCAAACGAAGCAACAGACAAAGGATTAATCTCAAAAATATACAAGCAACTCCTCCAGCTCAACTCCAGAAAAATAAATGACCCAATCAAAAAATGGGCCAAAGAACTAAACAGACATTTCTCCAAGGAAGACATACAGATGGCTAACAAACACATGAAAAGATGCTCAACATCACTCATTATCAGAGAAATGCAAATCAAAACCACAATGAGGTACCATTACACGCCAGTCAGGATGGCTGCTATCCAAAAGTCTACAAGCAATAAATGCTGGAGAGGGTGTGGAGAAAAGGGAACCCTCTTACACTGTTGGTGGGAATGCAAATTAGTACAGCCACTATGGAAAACAGTGTGGAGATTTCTTAAAAAGCTGGAAATAGAACTGCCATATGACCCAGCAATCCCACTTCTGGGCATACACACCGAGGAAACCAGATCTGAAAGAGACACGTGCACCCCAATGTTCATCGCAGCACTGTTTATAATAGCCAGGACATGGAAGCAACCTAGATGCCCATCAGCAGACGAATGGATGAGGAAGCTGTGGTACATATACACCATGGAATATTACTCAGCCATTAAAAAGAATTCATTTGAATCAGTTCTAATGAGATGGATGAAACTGGAGCCCATTATACAGAGCGAAGTAAGCCAGAAAGATAAAGACCATTACAGTATACTAACACATATATATGGAATTTAGAAAGATGGTAACGATAACCCTATATGCAAAACAGAAAAAGAGACACAGATGTATAGAACAGACTTTTGGACTCTGTGGGAGAAGGCGAGGGTGGGATGTTTCAAGAGAACAGCATCGAAACATGTATATTATCTAGGGTGAAACAGATCACCAGCCCAGGTTGGATGCATGAGACAAGTGCTCGGGCCTGGTGCACTGGGAAGACCCAGAGGGATCGGGTGGAGAGGGAGGTGGGAGGGGGGATCGGGATGGGGAATACATGTGACTCCATGGGTGATTCATGTCAATGTATGACAAAACCCACTACAATATTGTAAAGTAATTAGCCTCCAACTAATAAAAAAAAAAAAAATAACACATGTAAATCCATGGCTGATTCATGTCAATGTATGACAAAACCCACTACAATATTGTAAAGTAATTAGCCTCCAACTAATAAAAAAAAAAAAAAGATGTGATGTAAGAACAACTCACCTAGCCTAGATTGCATAGATTTTTCTGCTTGTTTTCTTCTAGAGGTTTCATAGGTAGGTTTTTGCCTTTGTGTCTGTGACCCATTTAGTCAGTTTTCTTTGATGATGTGCGGTTTGTCTGTGGATGCAAAGTGTCCCCCCACCATTGTCGACATCCTATTGAGGGGTGTGTGTGCCTTTGTGAGCAGCACTGGGGTGCGCTTGTCTGGGGCTGTTTCTGGTTCTTCATCATCTTCTGTTGCCTGTTTTTCCCTCCACCAGTAACACTGTCTTGATCACTGCATAGTGAGACTTAACATGAAGCATATGGACTCCCCCCCTTCATTCTTCATTCTCAGGGTGGTTTTAGCTGTCCTGTTACACTTTGCCTTTCTGTGTAGTCTTTAGAATAGTGTTGTGTACACACACACAGACACACAGAAGCTGCCGATGGTACCGCCAGGACTTGTGTTAAACCTGAGCATCGGTTTGTGGAGATCTGAGTCTGCTTGTCCCTGAATGTGGTGTGTCTCCCTTTATTTAGGTTGTCTTTGATTTCTTCAGCCAGCATGGTGTTATTTTCAGCATACAGATGCTGCAAGTGTTTTGCTGGAAAGTATTAGCCACTCCGTCGTGTCCAGCTCTTTGATCTCATGAACCGTAGCCCACCAGTCTCCTCTGTCCATGGGATTCTCCAGGCAAGAATACTGGAGTGGGTTGCCATTTCCTTCTCCAGGGGATCTTCCTGACCCAGGGGTCGAGTGTGGGTCTCTTGCATTGCAGGCAGATTCTTTACCATCTGAGCCACCAGGGAAGCCATTTTGCTAGATCTGTATCTAAGTATTCAGTTTAATTGAAGTGATTGCAATGATTGTGAGGGCGTTGTTCACTCTGGTTTTCACATGTTCATTTCTAGTGTATAGACGTGATTTATTTTCTGTGCTACGATCGAATCCTGTGACTTGCTGATTTCACTTGTTGGTTCTAAGGGTTGCGTGTTTGGTTTTGTCATTACCTTGGGCTTTTCCATGTGCAGTCCTGTCATCTGAAGATACGGGGGTGGGGTGGAGGTGGGGATGGGGGTGGAGGCAGAAGCCTGGACATTCCACTCAGTCTCCTGGTGGCGAGGGAGGGGGACTCCTGGGGGGGGCAGAAAGGGCAGGGGTCCAGGCTGCACAGGCACCTCCCTGGGCTGCCCCACTTTCTAAAAGCGAGTGTTCGTGAAGGAGCCCCCTCCCTGCCTTCCGCGCACTCAGGTTTTATCCTGTTTTTGGATGAAGCAGTTTTCACTGCACGAGCGATACCGTCGCAAGAGAAGAGCTGCTGATCGCCGGTCTCCGCGGGCCGGGCCTGCTTCTGAGCTCTGCACCCTAGAGTCGTGAAGAGCGGACGCCTGCACGCGGGCGTGGGGACGGGGCACAACCAGCCCATCCACCGGGGGAAGCATGGCCTCTCTCGCCAGCTTGACTGTCAGTGAGAACTATGCATTTGCAGGAGAGTGTGGTGTTTATAACGTTCCGATTGCCGTTGCATTCTGCGGCCAAGGTGGTAGTCTTTGGAAACGTGCATTTGATACTGTACTGAGTACAAGTGAGCATTTAATTTCTGTGTATAAGGTCGCTCCTAACACTGACCTATTAAGTTTTTACTGACCTGGTTTGGTAGAGGATAACAGAGTTTTCTTTAGTATTTAATGGTTATTCTGAAACATGTCTTTATGCTTATGCTAAAGTAACTAATACCAGCATTCAAATGTTCCCCCTTTGAAGGCCGCGCTGGACGGGTGTCTAAAGGATACTGTTACAGACTGGTGCATAAGGATTTCTGGGACAACTCCATCCCCAGCCACGTCATCCCTGAGATGCTGGTAACGAACTTTGGTCATCTTCCTGGTTGTTTTTTATGGGCAGTTTTACCCAACAGTCTTAAGGAGTGTATTTTGAGTGTCATATAATTTTGACCCCGGAAACGTCACCTGTGACTAGGGCTGTCTTTAATGCCAGCACTGGCTTCATCGCCTGGGCCCCAGGCCCCTGAGGGGGCTTGCGCCGTGCCAGGGTCCGGGCCCAAGGAGCGCTGTCCCCAGCTGCCGCCCGTGTGCGCCCCTCCGCTGCACCTGTCCTCCCCTCCTCGGCGCTCTGAGCCCCTCTGCTCCTCTCCCGCGTCTCTTCAGCTCTGGTTTCTCTCTCCTCCGCCGCCCAGCCCTCTGTCTCTCTGTTTTCCTCTCTTAATTCTCTCTGCCTCCTCTCTGCGCTGCTTCCTCTAAAGCACTAGCCGCGTGCGTAGGTGCGTTGATGCACTGGCTTCACCGCTTCTGAACTCACGCTCTGCCCCCAGCGCTGTCCGTTGGGAAGCACGGTGTTGAAGGCGAAGCTTCTCGGCATGGGTGAGCCCAGGGCTCTGCTGGCCACGGCCCTCTCCCCACCGAGCCTGAGCGACATCGAGCGCACCGTCCTTCTGCTCAAGGAGGTAGGACCCTCTCATGCTTGTTTGTGCTGGGAAAAGCTAAGGTGGTTTGGGTGCATTTTATACATGTCAGAGTGTGGATGTCCTCCAGGTATTTTGATGGTTGTGAATAGTGTTTCCTTGGCTAGGCATTCATGACTAATAGTTGATTCCAGCTTTATATAGCAGTTCAGACCAGCTTTGTTAGAAGCTCCTGCTCTCTCACCACTCGTCACGCATCCCCCACCGGGCTTGCTGTTTGTCGGCGAGGATGAGAAGGCCCGGAAGGGCCACTGGGCGCGGTGCAGCCCTATCCCCCAGCTCCGGCCGCAGGAGCCCTCTCCCCGCCGCCCCCAAGCCCTGCTCCTCAGCCCCTGCCAGCCTTCTCCTTCCTGGCGCTGGAGGCCCTGCTCCTGCCGTGAGCTCTGGCTCTGCCCCTGCCACAGACAGCCGGGCCAGGCGCCCCTGTCTGCCAGCTGTGCACATCTGCCTCTGGCCCTCGGCCTTGGGGCGCCTCTCATACTGTCCTTCCTTGCTTGGGGGTCTGTAAAATACACTCTGTCAGTTGAGGACATCTTTTTCCGCACGGGGTCTGCTCCATCTGGCTGTGAATGATGCAGCAGTTGGATGTTTGATTTGGGCCTGCCACGTTCGTTAACCTGTGAGTTACATGGAAATGATGAAATGGCGTTCTCAGTTTCAAAAAAACCTTTAGTCTCAGTCTTTAGTAAGCTGACTCAGAGGCGGTTTAGAACCTTGCTCACCCACATTTGACCACTGCCTCAAATTCCCTGCTCAAGGGAAGAAGGGCGTGGGTAAAGCCGCACTTGCTGACTGCCCTGCTTCGTTTGATGAAGGTGGGAGCGCTTGCAGTCAGTGGCCAGAGAGAAGATGAAAACCCCCACGACGGTGAGCTGACCTTCCTAGGAAGAGTTCTCGCCCAGCTTCCTGTCAGTCAGCAGCTCGGCAAGCTCATAGTGCTCGGACACGTGTTTGGGTGTCTAGATGAGTGTCTTATCATCGGTGAGTGTGCGGCGGCCAGGCGGTGACGGAGGGTGTAAGCAAGGCCCTTCTGAGAATCTCACATTGTCCTTGTTTATTCTCTTGATAGCGGCATCTCTTTCCTTGAAGAATTTTTTTGCGATGCCTTTTAGGCAGCATCTTGATGGATATAGGTATTTAACATTCATACTTTTAAGTCACTGTGTTTTAATGGGATCAAATGACACCCTTTGCTGTCTGTTTATAGGAACAAAGTGAATTTCGCTGGCAACAGTAGGAGTGACTGTATTGCACTTGTCGAAGCCTTCAGAGTAAGTTTTCGCTGTGCCAGCTCCGAAAGCAGCTACCACAGATGTCAGTACTCTTGCATGCAATGCACCTGTCTCTGTCAGAAGTGTTTTTAGTGTTACTGACCCCTGATAGGAAAGAAACTGTTGGGAGAAGTATGTCAGGATGGGAGTCTAAGTCTATGAAGTTGATTGAAAAAAACCTCCCAACTAAAAATCCTAATTCACCCACGTAAAAGAATAATTTTAGTATATAGTAGAACTGTATGTTAACTTTGCTCTGTATTTTCCAAGTCTCCTGAAAATGTGTTATCATCCTTTGATAATTTTAAAAAAGAAAGAATAAATCTGTAAGTTGTCTGTGGTCGGGGAAGAATTTTGAGCCCGATGGTTTCTTTGCAGGCGTGGCAGACCTGCAGGCAGAGAGGGGAGCTGCGGCACCCGAAGGTCAGTGGCTGTTCCCTGAGTTTCTCTGCTGAGACTGCCGGCGCCCTGGGAGCTGCCCGGGCCCCCCTCGCTCAGCCTCATTGCCGTGTGTGAACCGGCAATGTCCGGCCTGAGCGGAGCGGCCAGCTCCTGGAGGCGGCAGGGCCTGCATGCAGCCGCACTGCCTGCTGCCCGCTTCCGAGAGTGGTGACCCTTGCTTGTCGGGAGCCCCGGCAGCTGCTAGGACCACAGGCCTGAGGGCCGGGCCTGGGCTGCTGCTCGGAGCGGCGGGGCTCGAGGCTTTCTGTCTGCTGCTGCAGCCCTGTGTCCCAGAGTGGGCTTGGAAAAAACCAACTTGTTTGCCTTTGTTTTTTGGGGGTGGGTGTGGTCAGGTTTTGTTCTTCTAAACTGAGTGTGTTTGAAAGGTTGCTGGTAGGTCTCTGTGTGTAAATTTGCCGTGCTCAGATGCATTCTTAGAGCAACTGCCTGAGTTACTCATGAAAGCCACTATGTAGACAGTCAGCCCAAGAAGAATAAATGCAAAAAGGCAAAATGGTTGTCTGAGGATGTCTTAGAAAATAGATGAGAGAAGAGGAGAAGCGAAAGGCAAAGGACAAAATGAAAGATAAATCCATCTGAATGCAGAGTTCCAAAGAATAGCAAGGAGAGACAAGAAAGCTTTGTTAAGTGATCAACGCAAAGAAATAAGAGTTTCCTAGAGATCTCTTCAAGAAAATCAGAGATACCAAGGGAACGTTTCATGCAAAGATGGTCTCAATAAAGGACAGAAACAGTAAGGACCTGACAGAAGCAGAAGAGATTAAGAAGTGGCAAGAATACACAGAAGAACTGTACAAAAAAGATCTTAATGACCCAGATAACCACAGTGCTGTGATCACTCACCTAGAGTCAGACATCCTGGAATGCAAAGTCAAGTGGGCCTTAGGAAGTATCTCTATGAACAAAGCTAGTGGAGGTGATGGAATTCTAGCTGAGCTGTTTCAAATCCTAAAAGATGATGCTGTGAACGTGTTGCACTCAATATGCCAGCAGATTTGGAAGACTCAGCCGTGGCCACAGGACTGGAAAAGGTCAGGTTTCACTCTGATCCCAAAGAAAGGCAGTGCTAAGGAATGCTCAAACTCCTGCACAATTGCATTCATCTCACACGCTAGCAAGTACTGCTCAAAATTCTCCAAGCTGGGTTTTGACAGCACGTGAGCTGAGAACTTCCAGAGGTACAAGCTGTATTAGACAAGACAGAGGAGCCAGAGATCAGACCGCCAGTGTCCACGGGATCAGACAGAGGAGCCAGAGATCAGACCGCCAGTGTCCACGGGATCAGACAGAGGAGCCAGAGATCAGACCGCCAGTGTCCACGGGATCAGACAGAGGAGCCAGAGATCAGACCGCCAGTGTCCACGGGATCAGACAGAGGAGCCAGAGATCAGACCGCCAGTGTCCACGGGATCAGACAGAGGAGCCAGAGATCAGACCGCCAGTGTCCACGGGATCAGACAGAGGAGCCAGAGATCAGACCGCCAGTGTCCACGGGATCAGACAGAGGAGCCAGAGATCAGACCGCCAGTGTCCACGGGATCAGACAGAGGAGCCAGAGATCAGACCGCCAGTGTCCACGGGATCAGACAGAGGAGCCAGAGATCAGACCGCCGGTGTCCACGGGATCAGACAGAGGAGCCAGAGATCAGATCGACAGTGTCCACGGGATCAGAGCGAGCAAGGGAATTCCAGAAAGACATCTGCTTCACCGACTACACTAATGCCTTTGACAGTGTGGACCACAACAAACTGGAAAATTCTTAACGAGATGAAAATACCAGACCACCTTACTTGCCTCCTGAGAAATTTGTATGCGGGTCAAGAAGCAACAGTTAGAACCGGACATGGAAGAACAGATTGGTTCCAAATTGGGGAAGGAGTACAAGGCTGTATATTGTCACCCTGCTTATTTAACTTACATGCAGAGTGCATCATGCGAAATGCCAGGCTGGATGGAAGTACAAGCTAGAATCAAGATTGCCGGGAGAAATATCAATAACCTGAGATATGCAGATAACACCACCCTTATAGCAGAAAGCGAAGAAGAACTAAAGAACCTCTTGATGAAGATGAAAGAGGAGAGTGAAAAAGCTGACTTAAAGCTCAAGATTCAAAAAACGAAGATCATGGCATCCAGTCTCATCACTTCATGGTGAATAGATGGGGAAACAAAGGACAGTGACAGACTTTATCTTCTTGGGCTCCAAAATCACTGCAGATGGTGACTACAGCCATGAAATTAAAAGTTGCTTGCTCCTTGGAAGAAAAGCTATGACCAACCTAGATAGCATATTAAAAAGCAGAGATATTACCAAGAAAGGTTTGTATTGTCAAAGCTGTGATTTTTCCAGTGGTCGTGTATGGATGTTAGAGTTGGGCCACAAAGAAAGCTGAGCACTAAAGCATTGATGTTTTTGAACTGTGGTGCTGGAGAAGACTCTTGAGAGTCCCTTGGACAGCATGGAGATCCAACCAGTCAATCCTGAAGGAAATCAGTCCTGAATATTCATTGGAAGGACTGATGCTGAAGATGAAACTCCAATACTTTGGCCACCTGATGCCAAGAGCTGACTCATTGGAAAATACCCTGATGCTGGGAAAGATTGAAGGCAGGAGGAGAAGGGGATGACAGGCGATGAGATGGCTGGATGGCATCACTGCCTCGAAGGACATGAGTTTGAGCAAGCTCCAGGAGTTGGTGATGGACAGGGAGGCCTGGCGTGCTGCCATCCACGGGGTCGCAGAGTCAGACACGACTGAGTGTCTGAACTGAGAGTCAGCCTGTGCTTCCCGTTGGCTTGTCCTCCTCCTGGTGAGATACGTGTGTTACAGTGGGTGTGTCAGTCCTCGTTTGTTACATTAATATTGAATGTTGTGCTTTTGTGTATTTAAAGGATGAACTTGAGTGGGGACGGTTAAATTACATTCAGATCAAGAGAATCAGAGAGGTAAGTGTGTATTCTGTGCACGCAGGTAGAGGTGCCGTTTATCGAGTGCCAGCAGTGCCCAGGCGCTGCGCTCTGCTTAGTTGCTCAGTCGTGTGGGGCTCTTTGCGACCCCCATGGGCAGCAGTGAGCCTTCCAGGAAGTGCATCCTGTGTCCAGCCTTAGTAGAATCTGTGCGTTGCAATCACAGTTACAGTTTGTTACAGCTAAGGGACACAGGTGAAGATCAGCAAAGGCGCAAGGCGGGTGGGGAGGAGCCAGGAGAGACAAGGTCCCCGCCCGCGGTTGACCTCTCGCAGCAAGGCCTCCTGGGCAGCACGGGTGCTGACAGCCTGCAGGAGCCTCTGCAGACCAGGGAGGCTTGCGGAGCCTTGGTGTGCAAGCTTGTGTTGAGGGTTGGTTGCATGGTCACGGGGTGCTCCTCTGGTTGACCTTACTTGCCTTAGTTTTCAGCACCCCCGAAGGTCACACTGATACCATGTGGCCCAGGCCCCTTGCCCCCCGCCCCCATGATGTCATGTTGCTCCATGAACTGCTTGTTGCATCCAAGGCCTCAGCTGAACAAAGACGCTCGAACGAGGCAGGTTATGCCAGGGACCTGGAAGTGAGCTGCCCGGAGCCAGACCTTCCTTCGGAACGTCTAGGGCGTGGCCAGCTGGGCCTGCTGACTTCCGTCCTTTACTACATGGGTTTGCAAGATGCTGTGTCTGTTTTATTGTGTTATCAGAGAACTTACTCCTGGTTTGATTTGACAGTTTTACTGTGCAGGTATTTTGGAGGGGAGGAAAGGTGAAAGATTTCAATGGATTGACTTTGGCTTTTTTCCATTAATTTAGTTTTTCTCTGGTTTACTTTTTTAGTGTTACTGAGATGAGAATTTAACTTATTATCACTTTCAGTCTTTCTAAGTCATGTCTGACTCTTTTGAGACCCTATGGACTGTAGCCTGCCGGGCTCCTCTGCCCATGGGATGTCCCAGGCAAGAATATTGTAGTGGGGTGCACTTTCAGTCTTTCTAATTAACAGTGGTTAAAGCTGTGAGTTTTCTCATGAGTGGTTTGGGTCCAGTAGTCTTTGACATCCATGTGGGGATGCACGTTCCCTCCCAGCTATAGGGAGCTCACTGCTATCCCTATCTGAGGCTTATTTCTCTGTTGGTTTCCTGCTTGATTCAGGGTCTTTTAGAAGAGTGTTAGAGTATCTAGGCAGAAAGAAATATCTTTAGGTATCTTGTTTCATTGTTAATATTTTGATTTTTATTGCATTTTGGGCAGAAAAAGTGAGTTGCATAATTTTAAATTGGTTTTTAATTAGACAAGCTGTATTTCCTGCAGCCTTCTGGGTGATTTCAGTAGTGAGTGTGAAAGGGCCAGGCTGGGCCCTTCCTGCTGTGTCCCCAGGCTCTCCTCCTCTTCTCATAGGTCAGGACTTCTAAGAGTTTCCGTCCTTACCATTCTTTTTCATAGTTTGTTTTCCAGCTATGGTTACAACTGTGCTCGTATAGTTTTTTTCCTTATTGTCACTTACTGAGATAATTTTGTGGTAAGTTAATTTACGATGCGCTCATAGGTGTTGGATTTGTGTATTCTTGTGTGTATACATTTGAAGTGTGGTGAAATCATTTTATGTGAAACGATTCTATTGAAACTAAAGAGGTTTTTTGGTTCAGGGTGACTGTGTAGCCATTGTTTTTAATCACAAAGCAGTACATGTTCATGGCAAGAGGTTTTGGAAGTGTTTCAAGGACTTCAAGCAAGGGCTGTGGTCAGGGTGTCCTGCTCCCCTGCCGTGGTAGGTGGCGGCGTGTGCGTCTGCAGTGGTCTCCTGTGTGTGTGTACGCTGGGATTGTGACGCACTTCGTTTGTCACACTGTTGTGTGTCCTTCCCACCCCCGTTAATCAGTCTTTAGCATCATGGTTCTCAGTAGCTGCAGTGTTTCACCCATAGGTACACTAATGTTTCCCGGTGTGCACTCCTTTTCTAGTGTTCCCACTATCTGAAGAGCATGGTCACCTGGAGACACCATCTCCCAATGTGTTTCTCTTAGGTGGCTGAGTTGTATGAAGAACTGAAGACGAGGATCTCACAGTTCAACATGCATGTTGATTCCCGGCGGCCTGTCATGGACCAGGAGTACACATACAAGCAGAGATTCATCCTGCAGGTGCATGGCAGCGCCCGCGTGCCTTTCCTGGCTCCTTCTGCTCCTGTGGTCTCATGGCTGTGAAAGTGCTTGCTCCCCTTTCCTGACATGAATTGTATCTCACAGGAGAGCCTAGATGCGCAATGTTCACGCTGTGTTGGAGAACAGGAAACACTCTGCTCTTGCGTTTAGGTTTTCTGTGTCACTGAGTTGATGATCCAGACCCAGTTCTGATCTCTGGAGGAGTGTTTCTGAAGACTGCTGTCTTTACTGCTTCCAGAGAGATCCTTTTATTTTGGCTTTTAGGAAAGTAAAATTACTGTTAATGTTACATTGCTTTTACCTTGCATCGAAAAGTTATTTTAACTTTGGAGGCCATGATCAGATTCCCTTCTTGGTTGGAGCCTTCTAGGCTTGTGCAGAGGGAAGTGTATCTTGGAAAGGCAACCAGTGTTTCTAACTCAGGGCTCAGGGGAGGAGGAGGTCTTGTCCTGCGCCCGTGTGTTGGCTGACGCATACAGAGTTGGGATCCTGTAACCTGGGGGCTGCTGGGAAACGGATGTCAAGTTACTTTAAGGCTGGAAGAGTCTTCCTTGGGTGTTTGTTTCAAATGGCGTGTTTTTAACTGAAGAAGTGGCTCTTTGCAGAGTGCTTTTTAGAAGTGAACATTGAAGGCAGGCCTGGTGCTCTGAATCTATGTGCCCCAATTGTAACTTTACCTGAACGTTTAGGAGAAGGCCTGACCCATGGAAGGAAGTATGTCGAGGACAAGGTAGAAAATGCTGGCCAGCCCCCAGGGCCCTGTGTGTGCAATCATTCGTGTCCTCGTTCAACTCACCAGTGTTTTCTAAACCTCGTTCTTTTTTCTAGCTGCACTATGTGGCTTGTGGGATCTTAGTTCCCCAACCAGGGATCGAACCTGTGTGCCCTGGATTTGGAGAGTGGAATCTTAATCAGTGGACTGCCAGGGAAGTCCCTAAACCTCATTCTGAGAAATAGTCAGGCTCCTTGGAGGAATGATCTTGTAGAATGTGTTTCTGTTACAGGGAAGTAACCAGAATCATGACTTTCTGCTTGATTGATTAAAGGCCCAGGTTTTTTAAAAAAATATTAACTCATCTTTTATATTATGGATGTCATTCTGGAATGAGATTAGTGCATTAATGAGACAGTGTGATAAAATCTTGCTGTTACTTCATGAAAATACGTCTCTCCCAGGTTGTGTTGGCAGGTGCCTTTTATCCGAATTACTTTACTTTCGGGCAGCCTGACGAGGAGATAGCCATGAGGGAGCTGGCGGGCAAAGACCCGAAGACGACCGTCGTGGTAGGTTGCGGGGGTGGGTGGCCTTCCCTGGCGGGCAAAGACCCGAAGACGACCGTCGTGGTAGGTTGGGGGGCGGCCTTCCCTGCGGGAGACTGGGCGCCTGGTCTTCAGGCAGGCATCGGTCCAGTGTGGCTGATACGGAGCATTTAACTTCCCCTCTGTCTCTGTATAAATGCTTAGTGGATTTTTTCCCCCTAAAGTGAATTTCATGGCTTGTCTCACCTTTTCACATGCCTCCACTGGTTCCTGTCTCATAGACCTGGCCGCCTTGTGGAGTGAAGTATTCAAGGCTAACCTTGCCTGCTTCATCTTGTTTTGAAGGACTTAAAATACTTCTCCATAAGTTTAAGAGCAGGCAGTTAAAGCTAACTTGGTTTTATGCAAAGCGTAAAGGGTTATTTGGTTGGCAGCTTTGTACTGCGATTTAAACTCTGATCCCCATTCACACATAACAGAATCGTCTAGAGTGTGTGTTTATTTTGAAATTCAGACTTGAGGCCCGTGCCACAAAATCTGAACTAGCAAGTGTAGCCTGAAAATCAGCGTTTAAATAATGTGAGCTTTGGGCGAATCTGATGGTCAGTCACAGCGCTCACCACTGGATCAACTTTGGTGGACCCTGTGTTTCATCAAACCTGAGCCCAGGGTGACTTCAAGGTCAGCAGCTGAAATAAAGCATTTGGGAGTTGGGCTTTCGTGGATTCTTGCTGCGTCATCAGCTGCACCTGATAAAGGGGGTGCAGAGGCCTGGCAAGGCTCCGGGCAGGCAGTGAGCCCGCCAGCACTGCAGCTTCCCCTCCCCCTGCTGGGCCCATCACCCTGCTACTGAAGAAGCGGAGTTCACACAGGCGGGGGGAGCTGTCTCAGGGGAGCTCTGCGCTTTGTCCCGCTCTGCCTCGCGGCTGGGGAAGCCTGGCTGGGCCTCTGCCTGTCCGGGTGGCCGTGCTCTCTGGGCAGCGGCCTCCCCTCCCCTGTACACTGGGGGAGGACCCCGCGGCGCTCGTCTCTGGATGTGGGGCTGTGCCTGCCTCCTTCAGCCGCCAGGCGGCCTGTCTGCCGCGCGCTCCGCGGCCAGAGTTCCCTCCCGTGTGCTTTGTAACAGCTCAGTTTCTGCTCATCTGGACGTATTGCTTGTCCTCTGAGAGTGCCTTTGCTCAGTGCTTTTTACTCATTTTTCTTTGCATTTTACCGTTCGAGTGAGAGATTTATCATCACCCTTAATTCATGATGTGGCTGGGGGGGGGTCCGAGGGTGGCTCTGTGACTTGCCTAAAGAGACTGAACAAGGCAGGACTGAACTCAGACCTGAATCCACGGCCCTTGCTGTTTACTACCTGCCGCCTCTTGTGGAGCTGTGCTGGGCGCGGGGCAGGGCCTCCAGGTTTCACACCAGAGCCAGAGCTCGGAACCCAGATGGCCCTGCGGGGAGGGCAGGGTGGGTGTGGGGAGGGGGCTGAGCGGGGAGAGGCAGGGAGGGGTTGCCCAGCGCCTCCTGGTTGGGTGCTGCCTGCACAAGCAGGACCCACTCCCGCCTCTCGGGGGCGTCTACATTCCCACCACTGCCTGCGTAGACATACCATGTTTGACAAAGATACACGGGCTGCTCTGTTATTTTAAGGTAGAATGAAGTCTTAACTTCTGTATATTGGACTTTTGGACTATTTTAATGAGAAAGAATCAGTTTTCATGCCAATCCCAAAGAAGGGCAATGCCAAAGAATGTTCAGATTACTGCACAATTGCACTCATTTCACATGCTAGCAAGATTATGCTCAAACTTCTCCAAGCTAGGCTTCAACAGTCCGTGAACCGAGAACTTTCAGATACACAAGCTGGATTTACAAACAGCAGAGGAACCAGAGATCAAATTGCCAAAATCTGTTGGATCAGAGAAAAAGCAAGAGAATTCCAGAAAAACGTCTGCTTCATTGACTATGCTAAAGCTTTTGACTGTGTGTGTCAAAACAAACTGGAAAATTCTTAAAGAGATGGGAATATCAGACCACCTTACCTGCCTCCTGAGAAGTCTGTGTGCAGGTCAAGAAGCAACAGTTACAACCAGACATGGAAGAACCGACTGGTTTAAAATCGGGAAAGGAGTCCGTCAAGGCTGTATATTGTCACCCTGCTTATTTAACTTACATGCAGAGTACATCATGAAAAAGACTGGGCTGGATGAAACACAAGCTGGAATCAAGATTGTCAGGAGAAATATCAATAACCTCAGATATGCAGATGACACCACCCTTATGTCAGAGAGCGAAGAAGAACTAAAGAGCCTCTTGATGAAGATGAAAGAGGAGAGTGAAAAAACTGGCTTAAAACCCAACATTCAAAAAACCAAGATCATGGCATCTGGTCCTGTCACTTCATGGCAAATAGATGGGGAAACAATGAAAGCAGTGAGAGACTTCCTTTTCTTGGGCTCCAAAACCACTACAGTTGGTGACTGCAGCCATCAAAAGATGTTTGATCCTTGGAAGAAAAGTTATGACCAGCTTAGCCAGCATATTAAAAAGCCAGAGGCATTACTTTACCAACAAAGGTCTGTCTAGTCAAAGCTGTGGTTTTTCCAGTAGTCGTGTATGGGGATGTGAGAGTTGGAACATAAAGAAGGCTGAGTGTCAAAGTATTGGCGCTTTTTTGAACTGTGGTGCTGGAGAAGACTCTTGAGAGTCCCTTGGACTGCAAGGAGATCCAACTAGTCAATCCTAAAGGAAATCAGTCCTGAATATTCATTAGAAGGACTGATGCTGAAGCTGAAACTCCAGTACTTTGGCCACCTGATGCGAAGAGCTGACTCATTTGAAAACACCCTGATGCTGGGAAAGATTGAGGGCAGGAGGAGAAGGGGATGACAGAGGATGAGATGGCTGGATGGCATCACCAACTTGATGGACACGAGTTTGAGCAAGCTCCAGGAGATGGTGTGAAGGACAGGAAAGCCTGGAGTGCTGCAGTCCATGGGGTTGCAAAGAGTCTGACACGACTGAGCGACTGCACAATGTGGAAGGGTTAGCCTTTGTCTAATGTGTATTATTACAGCTTAGTTGTTACTTACCCATGGAAGTCGTTCGTCCTGCAGCACCCTGCTGTGGGACCCAGGTCTCTGGTTAGGGACAGCGCGCTCTGCCCTGTGAATGGGGACTCTCGGGACTCTCGGGGGCTCTGGGCCCGCCCCTGCTAACGCCCGCCGTGTTTTGCAGCTGAAGCACATCCCTCCCTACGGATTTGTCTACCACCAGCAGCTGCAGTCTCTCTTCAGACAGTGCGGCCAAGTCAAGTCCATCGTGTTTGACGGGGCAAAGTAAGTGCTCTGCTTTTGTAACCCACTGCAACGACGAGAGCGCCGCCAGAGTTTCCTCTTTACAGGGGCTGGTTCTTGAACCTGGGCGTGCGGGAGGACGGGCCGTCAGAGGGCCGCTGCGGACTGCTCTCAAGCGTAGCTGTGGTTCACGTAGCCGTCAGGAGCAGCGCGTCCTCTCAGCCGAGCTCCTCCTAGAGGAGCCGAGCTGTGTGGCCCGGGTGTGCAGCAGTGTGAGCGGTGCGCTGCACTGGGCTGCGTCTGGCAGATTTCACAGGTGGGCCGGCTGCCAGAGGTGCCCCCCGGAGACTTTGTCTGCTCCAGTCACTTAGACCCTGGGGGCCAAGGAGCGGGAGCCACCGAGGGGAGGGGCGGGAGGAGGCCGGGAGGCAGCTGGGGGTCGCGGGCCCGGCTCGCTCCACCTCTTGAGTTGGGAACACTCAGGGAAGAGGAGAATCCAGAATTGCGGTCCGGAGTCTTTGAAAGAAATGATCTGTAAGGAGAGACCTGGGTGCCTTCTAGAGACAGCTGTGGGAGTGGAATGGACGTGGGCGAAGGGAGCCCAGGGCAGGTGGGGGTCAATGGAGGGGGCAGAAAGGGAGCTGAGGTGGGACAGTGCCAGGGGAGGGGCTGCAGAGAGGCTGGGGGTGGACGGGACGATGAGGCGGGCAGCTCTTCTCAGCTCAGGGCCCTGGCTTCCCCAGGCTCTCGCTCTCCGGGATAGCGCTTGGAGGGTCACAGGTCTGTTTCTGAGTGTGATGCTGGACCTGGGCGGTTTGACATTCGTTCGCCAACAAATGTGAGGAGAGCGTTCTCCCCTTTATTCCAGGGTGTGCCTGGCAGGCGCCCATGCTGCATGTTTGATTCTCACCCGCAGAAGGCGGGGTGGGCTAGCAGGACCCTGGAGGGGGCAGGGGGGCGTGTCTCAGCATCACGTGATAAACCAGATGTTTGTGGGGGACCAGAAAGGTCACTGACCGCTCAGCTGTGTGACTCTCTCTGCATTTTATTCTACAATAAAAAAGAAAAAGCCCAGACGTATCGCTTTGTTCTAATGATGACAATTAAGGTTTCTTAGCTGAACATTCCTCTTGAAGTTGGTCTTTATTTCATATTATACTGCATGATACGTGAGGACGATACTTGCTTTTGATTTAATGGTATGTCATTGTCATTTTTATTGCTTTTAAGTGAGTAGTTTCCTCTTGAATACATCTTCTTGATTAACCCTGTGATGAGAAGTTAGTTACTGGTAGTTTTGAGGAGATGTGTAGCTGAAAATCTCTATCTAAACCTTGAGAGAAATTAACATACACTTAACATACACTTCTGTTTGAGAGAAATTAACATACACTTCTGTTTCAGACGCCTCATAAGCTTATTTTTTATCTGTATTTGTGGAGCAGAGCCTTTGTGGAGTTTTCACGCAATCCAACAGAGAGGTTTAGAACGCTCCCCGCCGTGTACATGGCCATCAAGATGTCTCAGCTCAAAGTGTCCCTGGAGCTCAGTGTTCACTCCGCAGAGGAGATTGAGGCGAAGGTGCAAGGAGGGGCCGTCTCCAAGCTCCGGAACACGCGGTAGGCTCGGGAGGCCAGTGGGCACGGCTCTCCTCCTGACTGCGTGTCCTCAGTGCCGCGTTTGAACAGCTGTCTCACCGTGCTTAAGGGCACACTGCGAGCTCCGGCCTGGGGGCTGCTGTGCGTGCCGGCACACGGCCCTGGGCCTCTCTGAGCCTCAGCGTTTGCATCTGGCGCTTTCAGGGCTGCGCCCACAGAGCTGCAGTCCTGTGTCTTTTCTCTTGGTCATCGTGTAAGCCCCCGAGGCATCCGACTGGAAGTCGAGGGGTGGGGAGGGAGGGAAGTGTGGCCCCGAGTGTGGCTGGTGTGGGATGGCCTGACTCCGTCAGGGTGGCAGCTGGATGTGCCCAGTCTGGGGCCATGTGAATGCACCCATCCCGCTGCCTGACTGCCTGGGCCACACGTACTTAACACACGGGTCTGCGGACTGGGAAGAGAGGTGGGTTGGGATCTTTCATCCTTCCTCTTCATTTAAGAATAAAATGACTAGGAAAAAAAGGAAAGCTTTTATCAAACTTTAGTTTTATCTCCTTGCATTTTAGCATTTGCTGTGTTACTGCTTTAAGGGGTGATGGTAACTTTGGGTTTAAACCACATGTGTGTTTTCTAGTGACATGACACAGGCATGGATTTGTGGTTTTCTAAAGGTCAAGGGTCACTCACCTCTGAACCCGCAAGTAGGAGACCTTGCAGTTCTCAGATTTAGAATTTATATCCTGGAAGGCAGAAATTCTATGACAGTCCTGAGCGTCAGGATACGTTTGTAGAGGGTAGTGTGTGACTGCGGGGTGCACACCCTGCCCCAGGGCAGCCCGGGACACCGGCAGAGTCTCTTACGTGAGGTGAGATGCGATTCGTCATCACTGTCTGTATTTTATTAAAACCTTTTCTTGTAGTATCTGTGGACTAGTTCAAGCAGTAATTTCATGTATGTAAACACGCATGTGTGCTTTGTAACACCTCTGTTGCCTTTTAAGATAAGTGGTGTCTTAACAGGGTGAACGTGGACTTCCAGAAGCAGACAGTTGATCCAATGCAAGTCTCCTTTAACACGCTGGACAAATCGCAGACCATCACAGACCTCCTGCTAACGATCGAAGTCACAGAGGTGAGAGCAGTGTGACCCAGGCGTCAGAGTTCTTCGTCCTCGTTGTCCAGCACTGCCTCGCTGAGCGCGGGACAGTGGGCATGGAGACGTGCCCGCACACAGCCTGTGCGCCTCGGTCACCCACACTGGACCCTGAGTCCTCGGGTAACTTGTGGTCGGCCCTCTGTGTCCATGGCTCCTCACATCCTCAAATTGGACCAGCCGTGGCCCGTGTGGTCCTTCCTGTATCTCAACTGTGGAAAACCCTCTTGGATCACACTAGCATCATTTAAAGGGCATCGTTAAAAGTCACCTGGAGTCAGTCTGGGTGAGCTTGAACTACTCTCACTCATTGAATTGAAACGTGGCTGTGACACAAAATGAAACACAAAAATTCATCCTAGAATCAAAGTTTAGTTTTTAAAACGTTAGTACATTTGAAATGCCGAAAAACACCCATTTTAGCAATAAGGTATAATAAGGTATGTAAAATGTTACTGGCTCAGTGCTGTTTGCCTGTGTAGTTCAGTTTGTATCAGCAAAGCTAGCATCGGCAGCATTATTTGTTGGAGTGTAGTTTTTGCTTCTTCAAAATAAAATTTCAGTTAAATTGCCCTGGGCTTCCTGGCAAACGCGTGGTCCCCTTCCCTGGGAGACTCCCCTTAGCAGCCTGGCGTCCTGCCGACTGGAGGGCTGCAGGGGCGTGACCAGGGCCACGTGGTGGCGGCAGCAGGTGAGGCTGTCTGCACTCCACCCCATACCGCTCCGGGGGCCGCGGGTTCGCCCAGAGAGCCCGTGGGGCCTCTGTGGGCTTGGCGGACCCTGGGGGCTGGCCGGGGTGGAACAGCCCTGATGTCATGTGGCCCCAGAGCGTGCATTGCTGGCGTGTGTCACAGTCCCTCACCTCACTTGACCAGAACCCCCCTTTTCTCATAAGCAGTGACTCAAAGCCTGGAGAACCTGGGGACCAGGGAATGTAGCTTGTGACCTGCAGTTGGTGGGGGGGGGTGGGCGGCACGTCAGGTCTGCAGCGGGCATGCCTGTTCCTCTAGACAGAGATCCTCTCCAGGGTTCGTCTCCTCCTCCCCTCTAGGTGGTTGAGGTGGGACACTTCTGGGGGTACAGGACCGATGAGAAGAACTGGGAGTTTCTGAAGAGGCTGACCGCCGAGATAAACCGCCTCACGCTGGTGCCCCTGCCTGTCCACCCCCACCCAGACCTGGTCTGCCTGGCTCCCTTTGCCGACAATGATAAGGAAAGCTACTTCAGAGCACAGATCCTCTATGTTTCTGGAAATTCTGCCGAGGTATGTTTTTCTGTAATAAATCTCGCAACGGGAAATGAGGCAGACTCACAGCAGTTGACAGAAAGCCTTCTGTCTTTTCAAGTGGAAGGTAAATATAAAATGGTTACAATTAGAGAAGTGGTCCAGTCAGAACGTCCCTTGCCTCAGTGACCTGAGGTTTCGCCCCGTCCCTGGGAGTCCCGAGGAGCGGGGTGGGCTGGGGTGGCCGAGTCCAGGTTACTAGCCGGGCCTGCGCTGACGCACACCCCGCCTCCAGGTGTTCTTCGTGGACTACGGGAACAGAGCACGCGTGGCGCTGGGCGTCCTCATGGAGATCCCCTGCCAGTTTCTTGAGCTCCCCTTCCAGGTGAGGGGGACACGCCTGTGTCCTGAGCGTGTGAAGCCGGAGGGGTCTTGGAGGTCAGGGCTCGCCCCTCAGCTTGCAGATGGGCCAAGACCCAGAGCAGGAAGACACTTATTTTCTTGTACTCCCCAAGTCTGGTTTCTGCTTTTTCCCCAAAATATATTGCTGTAGATGTTTTTGCTAATAGTGCTTCTGGAGTAAGCTGAAGTACATGGAGGATTTCAAACTTAGTGATGTTTCTAATGCTTTCCCACCTGTGCTTTGTAAAAGTCATCCTAAGCTTTTTTGTCATCGACTAGTGAAACCACGTGATTTTACCTGTGACGTCCTCGGTCACCCTGACGTGCTTCCAGTAGGATCTGTGGCAGTCCCTGGTGCAGACCCTGCCCAGGTCTACTTTGAGTGGCGTCTGGGCTGAGTGTCTGGCCCTGCCCTCTGTCCTGCAGGCCCTGGAGTTCAAGATCTGCAAGATGCGCCCATCGGCGCAGTGTCTGGTGTGCGGCGAGCGCTGGAGTGGCGGGGCCGGCCGGCGCTTCTCCTCCCTGGTCAGCGGCCGCACCCTGCTGGTGAAGGTCTTTTCCGTGGTGCACAGTGTCCTGCACGTGGACGCCTACCTCCCCTCGGGGCTGCAAGACACGGTCAGCGTTCGGGGCATCCTCATTGGGCAGGGCTACGCCGAGCCGGCCGAGGAGCCCTATGAGTCCAAGGTGCGTGCTGCCTGTGGCTGGAGCGTGTGTGCGTGTGCGTGTACCCGTGGGCGGGGTGGGGGGTGAGGCACGGGGGCCCTTGCCCTCTCTCAGGATCTCAAGGGGCGCAGAGCCGGACAGCGATTGGTGTGTTGAGATCTGTGGTTCCTTCCTAAATGTCTTCTGGTTTCTTTGAGACCAAATCATGATGGCCAGGTGATTTGGTGGCCAGGTACTATTCTTGTTGGTTTCCAGTTATGAAGCTGTCTTTTTTTTTTTTTTCTTCTTGGAACGAAAGTTAGATGTGAAAATGTTCTCTTTTGGGGGAGTTTTAAAAAAAATGGATTCCAAGATTTATGTCCCTAATGAATTTTATAATTCCTTTATAAAATATTTATTTCAAGTGTTTGAAACATTTCAAAATGTCTTTCAACTGTTTATTTCGAAACCATTTCTGAAGCTGCCTTTCTTGATCTGGAAGTGTGAGATGTCACTTTGAAGCTCATATTGAAGGTGCTTCCTTCTACCTCATCTGCTGGGGGATGAGGTACTGGGTTGGGCAGGGGGCGAACCAGCAGGAAAGTGTCACCATAGAGCCGGCCGGGTTTGTGTTTCCACTTGAGAAAACGCACCAGGGGTCCTGGTCACAGCCCCAGGGTGAAGCTGGCATTTTGTGTGCAAAACCCCTGTGTCACTCTTCATTTCTCTGATGGCTGAAAGCTTCCCTTGCGGCTCAGCTGGTAAAGAATCCACCTGCAATGTGGGAGACCTGTGTTCAATCCCTGGGTCCCTGGGTTGGGAAGATCTCCTGGAGAAGGGAAAAGCTACCCACTCCAGTGTTCTGGCCTGGAGAACTCCATGGACTGTATACGTCCAGGGTTGCAAAGTGTCAGACACAACTGAGCAACTTTCACTTTGACTGAAAGGTAGTAAAGGCTAATGAACTGAGCCTTTAGTGAGTTCAGTCTTCTTTTGTTTGAATCGATAAATTATCTTTTGACATCTTAATGATCTAAAGGTCACCTAATGATAAGGTCATGCCTATGAAATGCTTTGATTAGTTTGGAATAAAATTTCTTAATACTGGTTTTCCTTTCAGCAAAATGAATTTTTCTTATTTTGTTTAGCAAAGCCACGAAGTTCTCAAGGGTCTCTTTTCCAAATCAGTAGAAAACCTGACAGATATGTCCATGGTATCTCCTGGGAAAGAAGACGAAAAGTACCTGATCCGGATTTTGTTAGAGAGCTTTTCTTCCAATAAGCTGGGTAACCCGAACTGCAAGGTAATTTATAGGAGTTGTTTTAAAGGACAGTTAAGAGCTTTGAATACTCCACAGCTGTGAGCTGCGTTGTCGCTGGAAGTCACGGTGGTTTTTTGTTCTTGGTTTTTAGTGCTGTTACTTCTCTCACTGTGGAGCCTGTACCAATATGAGAAAAACCTAGAGTTTAGTGGAGAGATGGGCTTTTGACTAGTTCTTTTTTTTTTTTTTGAGTGGTTCTTTTTTAAGCCAAGCTTTCCAAAGGCAACACCATATGAAAAAAATTACACAGCCTGAAAGCTGAGGATTATGTTTGTTATATTTGACGGACTTTCTGAGGACTCAAGCCCGGGAGGCAGCCTCTCAGACAACTCCGAGGAGGCAGAATAGACGGGAGCTTTGCAGCAAAGCCAGGCAGTTGAGTGGCAGACTGCGTTTTCAGTCACAGTGACCAGTGCTTGCTTGTCAGAGGGAGGGGAGCAGGGCTGTGGGCTTCGGAGAACCAGCGTCAGGGCTTAGCTTCGTCCCATGGAGGCGTTTGGTGGGGAGGGTTGGCTGTGGCGTGTCCCCTCACCCCAGTCAGGGACTCTGCTTTTATTGTCTTGGCCTTTGGCTGTGTGGTCTTAGACCTGCTGCTGCAATGAAGAGAGTCCTTTCACAGAAGTGTTTGACAGTGTTTCCTTTTCTTGACCAAAGGCTATCTTATATGTGTGTGTGTGTGTGTGTGTGTGTGTGTGTATTTTATATGCATAATATGAAGGTTAGCAAACCATTGATGGAAGCAGGTGCATCCCAGAAGAGACCTTATGACTAAGACATAGCTTTTTTTCTTTCTTTTAAACTGTGAGCTGACTTCTGGATTTTTAAAATGGAAGTAAAGTGACATTTTACTTAGAGGTAACATTCTGTATGTTTTGTGTGCACAGGCAGTACTTCACGGGCCTTTTAACCCTTACGAACTGAAGTGTCATAGTCTGACCAGAACATCCAAGTTCAGGTAAGATTAAGATTGCCACGAAGCTTCTTTCTCTGCTCCTCTGTTCACAGGGCTTATCAGAAACTAAGCTTTTCTATGTCTAACCTCTCGGAACATGCTACCTTTTCTAAGTCCTTCCGGCCTGTGTGCTCGCTCCAGACCTGAGGCCCCCACATTCTCTTAGGTGAAAACTGTTCTGCTGAGACCTGGGCTCCGTCAGGGCCCTCGTCATTTCTGTTCTTGGCGGCGGCGTCATTCGTCCAGCAGGTCTGTCGCGCCTGCTGTGTCCTGGGGGAGTTTAGAGACAGCCACGTAGTGACCGCAGCACAGGTGGTGTCCCCCCTCCCCCGCCATGGGTCCAGCAGGCACAGCGGCCAGACAGAGCAAACCTCTGACTTCACGGTGGGTTGGTGCGGGTCTTGATGGGCTCATGGAACACCATGGAGGCGTCTCAGAGCGCCCTGACCACGCTCAGAAGGCTGTCGGGTTTCAGAAGTCTGAGACCCGGAGTGTGCGGAGGAGTGAAGACCAGGAGCGTCGTGCTGGCAGGGTGAAGGCTGCTGGGAGGGTCCTGGCAGCGGGGTGGCGGGTGGGGGGGCGGTGCAGGCTGGGCCTGGCATGAGTCCTCCCTTGAGGAGGGGGAGTGAGTGCTCCCCTGAGGAGGGGCAGTGGGAGCCGAGGACCGCTGGGAGGCACCGGGCGCCGAGCCTCAGCAGGCATTTCCTTAGGAGACCCGTGCGAAGCATCATTTTGTGCATCTTAAACGATCGCTTGGGCTGCAGGGGAAAGCCCTGGCTTGCCAGAATCTCCTCCAGAACCAGCAGCACGCGTGTCCCCGAGAGCCTGTGAGGGACGCAGAGATCAGCCCCCGGTTCGCAGCAGGAGCCCCAGGGTCTGCAGGCGCCCCGTGAGCACTTGAGAGGGTGCAGAGCCCACACGGAGGAGACTCCGGAGGCCATTTGCTCTGCACTCCAGGCGGGTCACCGTGGACTCTGTCCACCGCAGGAGGAGCAAAAAGCTCAGGAGAGCTTTTGGTGTGGACTCGACAGGCTGACCTGCGATTAGAGTTGAAGGTTCAGGAGGAGCAGGCGTGGAGGGGGCCCTGCTGGGCCGCTGTGAGCAGGGCGAAGGTGGGCCAGGCTGGGCTTCCCCCAGGCGGGTGTCCAGGGACAGCCTGCTGGGACGAAGGCGCGGCCGCTGCAGGTGGGCAGCCCGGGCGGTGGTCTGGCTGCACGTGGAAGTTCAGGCCGGGGCAGCACGTGGGTCTGGGCGTGGCCGGGACTGCGGCACGCAAGGAGACATCAGGCCGTGGCCTCCCAGCGGCAGGTCGCTCGCTGCATTTGCGGGTCAGCCTGTATCTGAAGTGGCTCCTCCTGGTCTGGTGTCAGGCGCTCCCTCGGGGAGAGGCCACCTCTCCTGACAGCTCTGTTTCCAGGTGCGTCTGGATCGAGAAGGAAAGCATCAACTCTGTCATCATCAGCGACAGCCCGGAGGATGTGCACCAGCAGCTGCTGGTCGCCGCGTCCCTCTCGGTGAACACGACCGGTGAGTGAGGGGCGCTGCCCGCCCCGACCCCGCCCCGCCCTGCCCCTGGGCTGTGCGCTGAGCCTGTGAGCCGGGGAGTCCCAGCCTTCTGCTCCCTGCGCAGGGCCGCGGGCATGGACCCCTTGGCTGTCCAAGCTTTCCGTTATCTTGGCCAGACGGGAGGGCGAATCTCAGGTCTTGCCCTGAGGAGAAAGGAGAGGAGGAGTAACCAACAGACCAGGATCAGAGCCAGGGCCTCAGGTGGCGGGGTTCCCCGGGGGCTGGGGGACCCGCACCAGGGCGCCCCTCCCTGCCGAGCATCTGTGGGGACGACTGCGCGCAGGGCGGCGGCCTGAGAACAGGGAGGGCGCGGCGCCCGCGGTGACCGCCCGCCGCCCGCCGGGCCTGTCCGCAGGGTCCACCATGCTGCTGCGGGAGACCTCGCTGATGCCGCACATCCCAGGCCTCCCCGCGCTCATCAGCATGCTGTTCGCCCCCGTCATGGAGCTCAGGTAGGGAGCGCTCGCAGCCTGGGCCCCAGGCCGCCCGTGGGACGCGGACCGGTGGGGGAAGCGGGCGTCCTCGTGGGAGAGAGCGCGGACAGAAAGGCGCCCTGTGGGTCTCCTGCCGGCGAGCCCCCGGCTTCAGCGTTTACCTGGTTTGTGGGGCTGTGCTTGGATCCTGTTCAGAAGGACGCTGAGCGGGCCGATAAGGACACGCAGCCTCCCACTGGGCCCCGGTGACGGAGCAGCGAATACACTGGGGAGGGGATCGGAGGCTCAGAGGGCGCTGCGGCCGGGCGTGTCCATAGCCAGGGGGCCGGAGGCCACACCAGGTGCTCTGGCAGCGGCGGGGTGTCCTGCGCTGCGCCTTGCGGGCCATGAGCTGAGAAGGCAGGCGGAGCCCCTGGAGCGGGGTGAGGATGAGCCCGACAGCAGGCCGCCCGGAGACGCTGCCCTGTGCACGGCCCGCATTGGAACACCAGGGTTTGCAGGCCGCCACCGAGGCGGCAGCCCTGCTGGGCTTTGTTGGGTTGTGGGGTGGCAGGGACGCAAGAAAGGAAAGCGGCTGGGCCTTCGGGAGCCCACGTTCTGGAGGGTGAGACGGACGACCTCCCCAGACACTGAGGCGGGCCTGCATGCACTTGAGGAGGGCTGGTGCCCGTGGCTTGTGCCCCGTCCCCCTCTCCTGGGAGCGGGCGCGGGTCCATCGACCGGCCTCCTGGTGAGAGTTCAGGGGAGGTATCCCTGTGCCGACTCAGCCCTCCTCCTGTGAGGGCTGCTTAGCATCTGCTGTCACGTCTCAGATACACAGTGCTTTTTAAGAAATGATGATGATAATTATATGTCTTTTTCTCCTACTATAAAAACATATGCTACTTATAAAAAAAATACTGTATGGGGAAAAAGTGAACATTACAAGTATATTTATTTTCAGTGTTCACCTAGATAAATATATACACTTTAAAAATTGAAGTATAGTTGATTTACAGTGTTGTGCACATGTTTTATTTTGCTTTTAAATTTTTTCATACTGCACTTTATAAGCATTCTTACAGTGCGATGGCATCTCTGTAAGTGTTCGTTCTGAGCACTGCATCATGTACTACTGAGTGGGCGTGTCGTGGCTTTTATCAACTTTGCCCGGTTTTGTTTACATTTGTGTTTGTTTCTGACCTGCTCTGGCCCTGAAGGAATTTAATATGCCTTTATGTGTTGGAATTTGGGTTCTGTCTAGTTTTGTAATAATGGTGTGATACATATCTCTAGAATAAATGCATCTTCGGGGTCTTTGTAGGGGAGACAGATGTGAATCAACACACCGGGTGCGATGCTCCAGTCAGAAAGCTCCGTGCGGGGCGGGGGCGGGGATCTGACTTGGTGGATGCAGCACCACGTCCGTCCAGGCTCCTCCTTCTGCTCTTTTTCAATATGAACTTCTTTAGGACTTGAGTGATGCAGTGCATTTTTTTATTTTTTTTTTAACCAAGGTGAATACCTCTTTAAGGATTCTGGACGGTGAGGTGTCTGGACAGGCAGAGCCTGGGCAGGAGGAGCCTGGCGCGCGCCGGGCTCTCTGTCTCACCACACTGCCAGCCGTCCTCCCGTGCAGGGGCTCCCCCATCACCCCCAGCGCCCCATACTCCCCCAGCTGAGCATCCTTGCCCACTTGCCCTGGAGGGCCAGCACGGGAGCGGGGAGCGGCTCACGTCTCCACCCTGTGTGCTGACGGGCTGTCTCAGCTGTTGACCAGTGTATTCATGGGCTGCTTTTGTAATTTTAAAAAACCTTGCTCCATACCCCATATGTTTTAAAAGCTTTAGGAAACATGAGACCAGAGCAGAGGGACCTGTCAAGTACTGGAAGCGGGTGGGGTGGTGAAAATATACATTAAGAAAGGGACCTGGGCTTGCACTCTGGCCGTGCCTGGCACTCCCCGAAGTCTGGGCTTTCCCAGCTCTCAGAGGGGCCCTCCTGGGCTCACAGGACGGTGGAGGCGGCTCAGAGACTTGTGCACTCTTGGCGCTCGTAGACGCTGCAGTCCTCACCGTGACTCAGGGCCTCGCTGCTCGCTTCTGGCAGCAGAGCCACAGAAGACAGCCTGGGCAGGGTTTGGAGATGCCGTTAGACTCCTAACACTTTGAAGGTTAATACAGTATGCATTACAGAGTATTTAACGGTGTTTTTTTATGGAGGTTTCAGATTGATTTAACATTTACCTTTTGAGGAAATATATTTCCTTATTCAGCAAACTCTGGAAAATTCTTCAAGAGATGGGAAATATCAGACCACTTGACCTGCCTCTTGAGAAATCTGTATGCAGGTCAGGAAGCAACAGTTAGAACTGGACATGGAACAACAGACTGATTCCAAGTTGGGAAAGGAGTACGTCAAGGCTGTATATTGTCACCCTGCGTATTTAACTTACATGCAGAGTACATTATGAGAAACGCTGGGCTGGGTGAAGTACAGGATGGAATCAAGATTGCTGGGAGAAATATCAATAACCACAGATATGCAGATGACACCACCCTTATGGCAGAGAGTGAAGAAGAACAAAAGAGCCTCTTGATGAAAGTGAAAGAGAAGAGTGAAAAAGTTGGCTTAAAACTCAGCATTCAGAAAACTAAGATCATGGCATCTGGTCCCGTCACTTCATGGCAAATAGATGGAGAAACAGTGATAGACTTTACTTTCTTGGGCTCTAAAATCACTGCAGATGGTGATTGCAGCCATGAAATTAAAAGACGCTTGCTCCTTGGAAGAAAGTTATGACCAACCTAGACAGCATATTAAAAAGCAGAGGCATTAGTTTGCCAATAAAGGTCTGTCTAGTCAAAGCTATGGTTTTTCCACTAGTCATGTATGGATGTGAGAGTTGGACTATAAAGAAAGCTGAGTGCCTAAGAATTGATGCTTTTGAACTGTGGTGTCAGAGAAGACTTTTGAGAGTTCTTTGGACTGCAAGGACGTCCAACCAGTCCACCCTAAAGGAAATCAGTCTGAATATTCATTGAAAGGGCTGAAGCTGAAACTCCAATACTTTGGCCACCTGATGCGAAGAGCTGACTCATTTGAAAAGACCCTGATGCTGGGAAAGATTGAGGGCAGGAGGAGAAGGGGACAACAGAGGATGAGATGGTTGGATGGCATCACCGACTCAACGGACATGAGTTTGAGTGAACTCCACAAGCTGGCGATGGAGAGGGGGGCCTGGCGTGCTGCAGCCCATGGGGTGGCAAAGAGTGGGGCACAGCTGAGCAGCTGAACTGATTTCCTTTTTTGGCGCATATGAGGAGTTCTAGGATGTTAGCTTGCAAGAACCATCTGCAAGGAACTCTGTTTCAACATAATTTTAACATATTGCACATAAGTTTAAAGCTCCTTGTTTAGAGAAGTTAGCCCTTCCAAAGACAGCGGCAGTGAGCTTATATAGACTTCGGCTCCTTTTCTGTCTGTCGGTTCCGGCCGAGGTGACTCCACAGCGCGCCTTTACTGTGCTCTCTGAGGAGTATACTTTCTTTTGTCCTGTCATGATTTTTGCAGTTTTCAGTTTGAATCTGACGCATGCTTTGTAAAGGAAGTAAAAGTATTTTTGTGGTCTTAATCACTGTTTCTTAGGTGCACATAGGGTGTTTAGGATCCCTAGAAGAGAATTAAACTTAGCACTCTGATTACCTTTATTAATATAAGATTTAGAGTCGACGAGCGTAGAATTGCTACCCCCGTGGTGTTAGTTCAAGGCTGAGTGTGTGAGGACCTTCCTTGTCGCAACATGTGTGTTCTCACAGGTGAACAGTTTAAGTCTCATCACAGCTGCAGTAACGTAGATGTGATGTGGTGTGTCATTTATAGCCACGATGAAGCTGTCATCCTTCATTTTGGTGAGCCCTGGTTATTGTGTTTTGGAAAGATTTTGTATAAATTGAAATAATAAATTGCATTCATTAAAAACAGATGTGGGTGAGCTTGCCATTTAAGGAAGCATTTTGGTGACTGTTATGTAAAGCACATACTCAGCATCTAATGTATAAGTGAATCTGAGTCTCTCTGAGTTTACTTAGAATGTGATTTGCTTTCATTTTTATTAAAGTGAGGGAAAAAAGTGTGTGAATGTGTATATATATGTCTAGGACCAAGAAATAAACTGTTTGCCTAGAATATTTTCTTCAAAGTTTTATTGATCTAGATGATGGGAAAAGGTCTGCATTGATTAAGAGTCAAATAAAATTACCAAAATATTTTAAAAGATATTTAATATCAATATTTGTAAAAAGTGAGAAGACCTAAACAGACATCTCTCCAAAAACAACATACTAATAAACACAGGAAAATATGCTCAACATTGCTTATTGTTAGACAAATGCATATCAAAACTGCAATGAAATATCACCTCACATGAGTCAGAATGGCCATCATCAAAAAAATCTACAAACAATAAATGTTGGAGAGGGTATGGAGAAAGGGAACCCTCTTGCACTGTTGGTGGGAATGTAAGTTGATACGGCCACTGTGGAGAACAGCTTGGGGCTTCCTTAATAAGCTAAGAATAAAACTACCACGTAACCCCGCAGTTCCTCTAGTGGGCATATACCCTCAGGAAACCATGATTGAAAAAGACACAGGTACCCCAGGGTTCATCGCAGCGCTGTCTACAGTAGCCGGGACAGGGAAGCAGCCTGGACGGCCAGCAGCAGAAACTGTGGTACATACACACAATGGAGTATTACTCAGCCGTAAAAAAGGAATGCATTGGAGTCAGTGCTAATGAAGTGGATGAACCTAGAGCCTGTTATACAGAGTGAAGTAAGTGAGAAGGAGAAAAACAAATATTTTATACTCACACATATACGGGCTTCCCAGGTGGCGCTAGTGGTGAAGAACCCACCTGACAATGCAGGTAGACATAAGAGACGCTGGTTCAGTCCCTGGATCAGGAAGACCCCCTGGAGGAGGAAATGGCAACCCACTCCAGTATTCTTACCTGGAGAATCTCTCGGAGAGAGGAGCCT